TTCTGTGCACACATCATTGAGTATCTCGGCGAATCGCTTAAAGGACTGATCCGAGTCTAGAAAAGCTAACTCTAGGTCCCAGTCAATGTTACTGAGCATACGATTTGCTGCTTGGTACTTACCCCTGTGCCAGGCTCTCTGAGGGATGATATGTCCAGGAACTGAGTTAAGTGATGGTGAAGCATCAAATATGTAATCAAATGAAATAGCACAGTGGTCACATCCAGGCAGTGGGGCCATGATATCGAGAGATCCTATTCGATCTGCCTCCGAGGTAAAGATCAAGTCAAGGATATTTCCAGATCTGGGATATGTTGGCTCAGAGATCCATTGATGGAGACCTAAGGATAGGAATGTGTCAAGGAACATCCTTTCTAGTGGGGGACAATGGGACACTTGGATTGGCCAATCAATACCAGGAAGGTTGAAGTCACCTAGGACAATCACTTCTTTTCCACAGCAAAAGTGAAGTATGAACTGGTTTAAACGGTCATTTGAATCTGGTGAGTTGGAAGGCGGTCTATACACAACAAGCACGAATGTATTGAGTGAACTCAGGCGAAAGGAAAGGAGGTTAGGTAAGGGTTGGATTATATGGTCGATACTCAATCTGTTTTGGATGTAGCAGCACACACCATGCTTTTGCACATGCCCACAAACATCATGACGTAAGAGAGTGTAGCCAGGTATATCAACAATAGAACTAGAAATACTGGGCAGTAGATGAGTCTCAGTAATACACATAATATCCCATTTGAGTTTGGCATGCAAATCTACGAGCATGTTAAATTTGGGTGCCAGACCATTGATGTTTGTGTGCATAATACTAAGAACATTGGTGGTGTCGGTGGCAGATTTAGTCTTACAGTCTTGGTTCCGTTTTAGTTTCCCTGGGAGGCAGGGGGTGGTGCACCCACAGAGGGGGCAGTCCGTGCGTCTTGTCCGGTGTTAGACTGGGCTGAGGGCAGTCCAAGGGCCTGCGCCTGTTCTTGTTGACGGGCCCTGCGACGGGCAAGCAGTTCTGATCTCTGTGCATAGGTCAAGTCTCTAGATATATAGACTGAGGAGTAGTCAGTGTTTCGCAAAGCTTTTGCCTTGTCTAACACAAGCTTTCGATTCTCACTATTCATGATCTTTGCACGATAGATATGTGGGTGGCCAGGGATGGATGAGATGTCAGTCAGCCCAACTTTCGTGCCCATAACCTGATCAGTCAACTGTTCGAACTTTGAGGCTAGATCAGCTGTGGAATCGGCATGGAGGCCCTTGATTATGACAGACTGTTTGCGCTTTTCACGCTCTCTCATCTCTTTCATTTCCTCATGAACAATGGACCTGTAGTCGGCAGCAGGCTGTTGCAGTCTTGGTGGTTCAGGATGAGGTCTGGTTGAGGGAGTGGAGGCTTGAGCCGACACTGATGCTGTCAGGGTCTTAACTTGGTCAACAAGGTCCTTTACTGTGCAGCAAATACCTTTGATCTGCTGGAACAGTTGGGCTATAACCTCATTTGCTGGCACCTGACTGCTAGATGGAGATTTCCCCCTGTCAAGCCGACAGTTTGTGCAGATAAAGCTAATACCGGCACCATCATACTTAGCAATTGCATCCAGCATATGCTGGGGCAGGCCAGAACACATTTCGGTGCTGTGTACCCAATGTTCACATTTATCACAGCCGATCGCAGTGTCTCCGACATCTTTGGAACATGTTATACAGGTTTGCGTGCCTGCCTGCTGTGAGTCTGTGACATCCCTACTGGTGAGTATACTGACGCTAGCAGATCTCCCTCTCCCAGCTCCTGTTTTCTTGCCCCTGGCCATGGTCCACCGTGCTTATTGAGATGCGTGCACAGCTGGTAAGGTGGACCGACCGGACAACCAGTAGCGCGCAAGCAGCACAGAAAGCAAGACACCAACACAAGAGGCAGGCTGTGGGGACAAGACAAGTAGACCAGTTCAGGGTGAGAAAGCCGTTTCACATTCAGTCGGGATGGGGATGGTTGTTCTGGGCGGGAAAGGATAGACAATCAGTACTGCCAAGAGGTTGAGCCAGCGGGTAGTCCAGATTTGCAGGTGATCATGCAGAGGCGGTCATGCAGCAGGTGAGATCCATGCATCCATGCAGCAGCAGCAGCTCCAAACCACCGTTTTCCTAGCAAAAGAGTCAACCAGGGAGTCACTTCCTTCTTGTGTGACCTTGATATAGAGCGCGAGCGCGGCTTCGTAACGAAGAGCACCTTGAGTCTTCAGTAACACATGCCCTTGAATCCACCAAATATACCGATTCTCAACTTCAATGGCCTCGACTCGCGCCACGTGGAAAAATGGGAAAAATCGAAATGGGAAATGGGAAAAATCGACATAAAAATCCAAAAAGTAATTTGAATTATTCTTCCCTGAGGTATTTTGCTTATTTAAGCTATGCTATGCTGTTGTGCTACTGTACGGCGTAACAAAGCGAGTACAAACACAAAGTGAGCAAACGAGTTAATGAATGAACGAACGAATCAGACCAACATGGGAATGAATTTATAAATCTCTTTATTTCTAGATAGGTATGAAATTCAAGACAATTTCAATTTGTCAATCGCCTGGCATTCGACTAAAGAATCATTCAACTGATCTAATGAGCGTTGGAATGTCAATGGCAACTTATTGTCAAGGCACGTAACTTGAACTGAAACAGAAGATAACACATCAGTACGAGCGCACAACATACTCTCTAATTTCTATGAATAAATCCAATAATAAATCGCATACCACGGCATTGGCGGTATTGTTTTACGCATACCTCGCGCACACATACAAACAACAAACACTTAACACATGTGACCCTTAGTTCAAGGATGCATCTAATAAAAATCTTCCCTGCGAGGGTACCTAAGAAAATGACGTCATTTCTACAGTGGACAGATGGGACAGATGGCGTGCGCACTCACCGACCAAAAGCCTTCGAAATAAAATCTAAGCAAAATAGTTGAATAGGCTTTTTCTTTTACTCAAAATAGCCAAAGGATTTTACACATAACTTCCGGCTTTAGAACCGTATTGGTGGGGACGCGCATGGGACGCGGTGAAGCATGAACTGATTGCTCAGAATTTGTGACGTATAAATAACCACAATATTTCTACTCATTCTTTTAGTGAAATGGCGCGTTTCAGACAATTCTATTTTAGCGCCTATGCGCCTATATCAATATATGCCCAATGATAGGTATAGGAAATGCCGTAAAACCTTGCCCTAAAACATAATATAGGACAATATTTGATATTTATTATTTACACTAGTTGCCAAGGCCCCTACAGAGATCTTCAGGCCATTCAGAGCAAGGTCGTATATACCTACTTAGAGGCCATAACAGCATTTCATTCTTGATTTTGAACGGTAGGTATCTATCTTTGCATAATAAATGCAATAAATAGGTAGGTAATGCTGGTTTCTTACACCTTTCCATGCTTCTATCCTCAGGATACTGAAATCCTTCTCCTCCACGCCGCAATCTCTCTCCGGGCTGGACAGGCAACTTTATCTCATGCGGGCTGCTCCCTTGGAGCGGCACCGCTGCTCATGCTCCTGGGGGAGCGCACCCCGTAGCCGGGTGCAGTGAATGCCTTGGGGCTGGGTGGCCTGTCCTCTGGACGGGCTCAGCCCCGGCGACTCACTAGGGTGCCTGCCCAGACCAATGTTTCCCCCTAATTCCTATCATCCTTCCGGCTCTGCAATGGTCTTGTCGACCGAAAGGACCTAACCCAACAAAACAAACAACAAATGGTTTCTTGCTTCAATACTTGGTACTTAGGTGCTTACCTATTCCACCACTTTTCTGCTGGGTTAATTTAATGGCAGACCTTTTTTGGGTTTTACTAAATATTTCCATATCAATTTGAAATAATTAACACAGGACCAGGAGACCAGATTTCTGCATTGGGCTGCTGTACCTTTTTTGTGTAGGTTGTCAATTCATAAAGCAGACGTCGCTTTCATTTTCGCGGAGACGGAGGGACGAACAACAACAATGAACAAGCGGCCGCCCTGCCCTCAAACGCTCGCTTGCGACCGGCTGTTCAGTGTTCACTGTGCGTTCTCGCATCAATGGCGTGACAACTGGTCTGAGTCACTATTTATCCTCGGGAGCACGTCGCCCAGACGCCGCTCCCTATCCCCGGAGAGGACCGAGATGACGCCGTTTCGGTGCACCAGATGAGGGCGGGCCACTGGGGCCGCTCGCTCCAGTACGTGCACCGAATCGGCTGTCTCCACTCCGCGGCGTGCCGGCAGTGCCTCGCGGCGCTCTACACCTTGTGCCGAGAAGAGGCTGATGTGCCGGAGCAGTGCTGACTGCTGCTCCGGTGTCCGGCCCTCGCTGGCTCCCGCCAGCCTCGAACACACCGCTCCGCCGATTTTTGTGGCCCCGGAACTTACGACTCCGGCCTTGATTCACGGCACGACGCTACAGTGCTCTAAGCGTATTGAGGTATTGGGTTTCCGTGGAAATAAAACACTTACTCGGACGCTCAAACATGGGAGAGCGTCCAAGGCCCCGGAACGCTCTGTCTGGTTGTATAGCCTATCGGTAGATGTGCACATGGGCTTTATATAAAAGTGGCTTATTTTTGGCACAAATAGGCACCCAATTTTTGGCGCAAATCATGCAGACTTTTTAGCGCAAAATCGCTTGCGCTGAATTTCGGCGCAAGAGGGTCTCACGGGCGTCCGGCGTAGTATATGGATGGTTTCCACTCTGGTATAGTGCTTCTCCTTGGTTGCAAAAACAAGTGATGCCTGCTTTACGACTACCCTTTTTGTGCATTAGATTATCATTATTATTTTTCTTGCCAACTACTACAGAGTACAGGTAGCTACCTACTTGCAAACCATTCCTAATTATCAGAATATGGCTTATGTATCCATGCGGTACCTACCGGCTACCTGTTTGTTTGTTATAAACGACAACAACATATGCCTCACACACCATGTTATAATTATTGTTTTCTTTTCAGATAGTGGTGTGGTAAGCTTCAGACATGTCTGAATCACAAGATTCTGTAGAAGGAAGTGGAAGAATGAAGGTATGATGGAAGTTGGAGATGGACTATGTGCTTCTTAGTCACCAAAATGTATTTTTTACCGAAATGTAACTCAATTGTTACGTATCTTGCCATGCGTAACTGCAAACTGCAGCAAGATAGGTACTATGCTGATGCATCTCTTGCTCTGTTTGTCAGGGAGTGACCGTGGTGAAGCCGATCGTATATGGCAACCTGGCTCGACCCTTTGGAAAGAAGCGGGAGGAGGATGGCCACACGCACCAGTGGACCGTTTACGCCAAACCGTACAAGTATGTTGCATTACAAAACTGGTACTGATATGATCTTAGTTTTGCTTTTTAGGGGGTGAAGTTTCATGGTAGCAATCTTTCGTGGTGAGTGAATGCAATAAGCTATCATTTAAAGTACAACTGCGTATCCCTTACTCAGTACCTATTTTTTTTTTTGTCATCAGCCTATTTACATACTGACACGACACACATCTACTGCAGCAACGAAGACATGTCTGTGTACGTGAAGAAGGTGCAGTTCAAGCTGCACGACAGCTACCCTAATGCCACCCGGGTGGTCTCCAAACCGCCGTACGAGGTCACAGAGACCGGCTGGGGGGAGTTCGAGGTCGTCATCAAAATCTACTTCGAGGACCCTAATGAGCGGCCGGTGAGTGTATGCTGCTCTTTATAACACTCGGTAACTCTTCAACAATAGATGTATACGGTAACTCAGCTGACCGTAATTTATCGTCCTGTCATAAGGCGTCCTGACCCTGTCATGTTATCGTCCGCGAGTTGCGCTACATCAAGCTTTACCAACTTTATCGTTGGCTTGGGTGTTTAATCTACAGTTCTGGCTTTGATTGAAAGTTGAAGAAAATGTTGAATATTTTTTTTTTCTTATTACAAACAGTCCTCATTTATAATATGTCCGCCGCTCATGGCATGGGGACTGACTGGAGGCTGACACCGCCCCCCCCCCCCCGGGCAGGTGACGTTGTACCACGTGCTGAAGCTGTTCCCCTCGAGCGGCGCCCCTGCGCCCGTCGTCATGGGTCCGCTGAAGACGCTGGTCTGTGAGTACTACGACGAGATGATCTTCCAGGAGCCGTCGCTGATGATGCAGCAGCTGCTGACGTCCACTCGGCAGATCACCCTCGGCCCGTACAAACACGAGACAGACTGTGAGTCATGGTACAGACACGGGACAGACTGAGTGGTACAACAAACACGAGACAGATCACCCTCGGACCGTACAAACACGGGACAGACTGTGAGTGGTACAAACACGAGACAGACTGTGAAGCGTGAGTGGTACGCAATTCGGGGATGGGGTACAAATTCGAGACAAACTGAGTATTAGGGACACAGTGCGAGTGGGAGTGGTTCGTGCATGGGATGGACCGACTGCGAAATGAGAGAGGCAAGCACACGGAGACAGTCCGATAATGGTGCCACAAAACAAAAGAGAAGCCACTAAGAAATAAACGCCTGCTTTTTGTGCCTGTCATAGCTATCTCATCACCGTCTCTGAACCCCTCCTCATAGCCTTGCCTGCTCTGAACGGCTTTGTGTGAACCTTCGTCGCCGTCTGGTGCGTGCGCCTCGTGACGTGCCCTCTCTCCGTTTTCCAGTTGAGGAGAAGCGGCAGAAGACCGAGGCAGCCATCACCTCTGCTCGAGACAAAGTAAAACGAGAGATTGACGACCTCAGGGACAAGCTAAAGCTGGCCAAAGAGACGATCGCGAGATTCCGGTCGGAGATTGAGAAGTCACAGGCGATGCACTGATAGTGGTGATACTTGTGTTCTATTCAGCATCCACTTACCCTGCAACCTTCTCCAGAGAAAGTATTCCAATTGACTTTCTGGGAGGTGGGGGGGGGGGGGGGGGAAGGGTAAGAGAGGGTAGCAGATGTTTGGGGCCGTGTAACACGGTGCCGCTATCTTGACTGTCTCACCTGCTCATCATGTCATTTGTATATATTCATTTTTTTGTAATATACCACTTATTTTTGGCTCTGTGATCTTGGTCATGATAGGCGGTGAGGTTGTTTTACCCACCTATACGCTGCATGGAGACAGTCCAAGCATTGTCGGGATTGTGACACGATCTCTTCTCCGTCGTCGCACTGTGACTATTGTACGCGACGTAAGCATTTTGCGAAACACGGTCCACACTCCACACTACATATTTATCCATGCCTTGTAGATAGGTAAGGTTACATGCGAACGCGTACATAGATTCTGAGCAGGCGGAACTTCCTCACGCTAAGCGGAGGTTGACATATTTATCTCTTTGGGCACCATACCTCCCATGCATGTTTAGGCATCTTCTTATGATTGAATCCAAGCCTTTCATAACACAGAGTTAAACAACCTGAATGTATTTGATTGAAAGCCACGTATCACTGCATTTATAAAAATAACCACAAAAAGGCATACTCGCCTACTTTTGTTCATCAAACGATGAACCGCGATCCTCGATAAGGATATATTATGTACACATTGTTAAAATATTGCTCAATAAGTTTACACTGTACAGTGTACACTGCGTCAGGTAAGACGTGGACGGACAACCAGGAATGGTAAAATATGTATCATCTGCGATACAACACAAGTATTAGGCAAACAGACCCTTCAAATGAGGCAACACGGCAAGCATCGTGAAACAAAAACAACGATTGCTGGTAACACGTATTGTTCGATGATTTACAGCACATTATATTGGAAGATGTGGGATATAAAACGCCATCTTATTTCACAACGTTCAGTTCACAAGTTTTAAATATCTATAAAATTACTGCACTACTCTCATTCCTGTTGCAGTATCATCAGGCACTAGCGTAAGTGGGGCCTGAATGTCAACGATCGCAGGTAGGACTGTTTTGATTCATGTTTCGCAATATTCTAACATGATAGGTAAATAATTAGCAACAACGAATTAAGTAGATTAATCGCCAAGTCCTTGCAAATGGTTCCGATCAACGTTATTATGCAGTATGAAGCGAAGTTTGGGTGACAAATAATTTATCGTAACTTTAAACTAACTCAGCTGAAAGTACAGTACCGTAACACCAGCGTAACGTCTTAATTAAATACCTTTAACATGTCATCACCTTATCTAAACAACCGATTTGTTCGAAAAACAAAAATTGCACCTGGCCACGGTAACGCTCAGCCAAAATCCCCGACTGCGTCCATACCTCGCCAACTCCTACGCATCAGTAATAATAAGAATACATTCATACCTGAAACTTGGAAGACATTTTCATCCTAATATATAAATATTGAACAAACCTGACACAATTGGCCTGCGTAAAAAAACCTTGTTGGTCCTCTCCTCAGTCAGGCAACGTCCATGAGCAATTAGCGTCGTTTTGCCTATCAGCGTCCGTCACCCCATCAACTTCTGTCACAATCTTTCCCCGCCATCTGTCACCCTCACCCATCTGTCCCTCATCTGTCATCCATCTGCCAACCATCTGTCATCCATCTGCCCCTCCGTCTGTCGGTGCTAATCGGCCGGCCTACCGGCGGTCGCCCGGCTGGTGAAACCTGTGCCGGGCGTCCACGATCATGCGGAACTGGTCGGGGTGCATCTGTAGTTCGGTCAGCGCCAACTGGCCGTCCCCGTCCGCGTCAGCCAGACGTATGAGGCGCGCCGCGTCCCGAGACGCATGCTCCACGTGACGGGGGTCGGCGAACACCTGAGCCAGGGGAGTGGGAGTCAGCTGTTGCGGTGGTGGTCCATCGAGTGAGGAAAGAGCACAGTATTAGATCGGAGCTTCTCCCTCCCGGCGGGACGATAGGACATTTCTTTGAAATATCTCGGCCGGCAGTGACACACATTTGAGACATTTCTAAGTAACCATAGTGGGATCGATAACGATTAGCTAGCATTCTTTGCATGCTGGGTATTGGGAAACCCCATCTTTCCCACCACAAGAAACATTTTGACACACTTGAATGACCACCACGGGACGAACCCCGTGCTAAAAACAGAGGTATCGAAAATGCTCAGCAAACAATCACTCCCGTTGACCTCCTAACAGCTACAGGAAATCCCCACGCTGTTGACGCGCCCCCCCCCCCCTCAATCATCAACACACAAACTGCCATCCCCCGGCGTCTCACCAGCAGCTCGTGCTGGTCCAGTTTCTGGTCCCCGTTGGTGTCGAGCCGGGCGTGCAGTGCGCGCATCTCCGTCTCCGAGCTGACGGGGAAGTTGGCCGCCTCCTCCTCTGACGGACGGTAGGCGGGGTCGGAGAGCTGTCCGAGCTCCGAGACCGACAGCGCTCCGTCACCGTCCTCGTCTGTCCGGAGAGAGGGAAAGAGAGGGAGAAGAGTTCAATCGACTTGGGTTTGCGTCATATTCAAAAAATGGTAACGGAACAAAAGCTTGCGTAACGTTCCGCCGTCTTCCTTTTTGTTCCATCGTGCGCTAAAAAAAAAAAAAAAATGTGATCGGTTCACTTAATATAGACTGCTTATACGGAAACACCTCGACTGGATTACTTCACATATTCACATTCACTCATACTGCCTAGCGTATCCCTCCCACCCCATCCCATTCGCCAATCACCGACCTGTCTCTAATTTGTTACCTCTCCGTCCGTCCCACCCATCCCTCTCACCCCTCACTATCCCATCCATCCCTCTCACCCGCTCTCACCGAGTGTGTCGATGAGCTCGGTGACCCGCGCCAGCAGGTGGGCGTGACTCGACTCCGGGTGGCGGAACGTCAGAAGCTCGTCAATCGTCAGCTTCTCCTCGTTGCCCAGCTCCAGAAACTCGGCCCGCTCGCTCATCAGCTGCTCTGAACGCGGATAAAGGGGAGGCGAGTGAGGCCAGAGAGGAAATGGCAGCAGAAGCTACGGGGCAAACAGAACAATGAATTAATGCAGCGCCGTGGATGTCATTAAGATGTATTAACAAATAAATGTTAGGTGCGGTAGAAACAATTTTCGCAATCCCCTTGCATTCTGTTGTCCGAATTCCTTGCATCCGGGTTTTTTTGTACGTTTCTAATTACCTCTGTCAGAGCGGCTGAGATCCTCCTCTGTTTTGGCGCCTCGGGATGACAGGAAAAGAGCGTCGTATTCCTCCATGCTAATCCAGCCTGAGTAAAACAATGGGTACCAAGGTCAAGATCATTAGGGTTTCTAGAACACCGCACTTTCATAAATCTACCTGAAAGACTAACTACACAGTGGAGAACTAACAAATCTGTTCGCAAAGCTCCATCCATTCCATTGTTCAAGGCTAAAAGGAGCTCTTTGACCAGTTCAATTATGCACAAAATTATTGATTAACTCACTGAATCGATTAACTATCAATGTATAGCTGAATGACAAGCACTCACCATCCTTTGGGCTTTTGTCCAGAAGGAGGAATACTTTGAAGTTGGTTTTGACCCCAACTGTGATGTGTTCTGACACCTTCATCTGAATCCATTCTGACAGTTCATCTTTGTCAAGGTAGCCATTCTTGTTGTCATCTGCCCTGATCATGGAAATGGAAATACCTTCAGGTCACATGATTGACTGCAAATGCCAAATTGCCATGAAACATTGCAGACTAATTGGTACCAGATTATTTCACATACCTTGCTAGTTTTATATACCATTCCCAGTAGGTTCTCAGTAAGGTACTGCTGTCTAATATTTATGCTAATTTTGTTATTTTCCAGTAATTCTAAGCACCTTCAACATGAAAAGTAAAAAGGAAATCAGATAAATTGTAAAAAAAAAACACTCAGACCTATTTGCTGAATCCCATAACTCTAATTAGCCCAAATCATGGTATTCATGCACAACTGCTGAATAGGTACAAATCGATGTACTTACTTGCCAAAAGCCTGCTGGAGCTGCTGCTGTAAAGTCCCAACTTCTAACACACGTATCTTGTCAATTTCAGCATCACTCATGTACTTTGGCAGGGCTCTTATTTTAGTTTTCACATCACTTGCTGATCGGAAAAGCATTGAAGCCAAGAAAATTATGACATATATGAGGTACACAGCAAATACCAAGTATAAGGTTAAAATGATTTTATTCCTGCTGCTCCTTATTGGCATGTTTATGCATGTTTTCATGGCTTCTTCTGAAAGTCTTGAACACTTGACGAGATGACTACTGTTGAGTGCTGAATTCAAACCTGGAAAAATAAAAATCATTATACCTTGCCTTACTTTAGTTAGTTGGACATTGAGATAAGGAGAATTAAAAACACAAGGGAGCATTTCTAGACTTTTCAGTTGTCTTCCTCGCTACAGACGCTACACCCTGATCAACTCATACTGGTTTTACTCCGTGCCTACAAGCCTACAACACACATTACAGATTGAGATAAGCTCCTTTTTTAAATATCGATGACTACTAAGTATACTTTTATTCGATCACGGTATACAGAAATGAGAAATCTATTCATTGTATTGTTCGATATCACTTTGGTCTTGGTCTTTGACCTCGTAATCTAAAACTTTGATTCCACAGTACGTAGGTGGAGAACTTTTAACTTTATTTACTTATTCTCAAGAATTTTGACCTTGATGATTCTTGATCTTTGCTGGCTTACTTCTCAGTTCTTGCTTGATTGGCTTGACTCTTGGATAAAAACAAGGTGTATAAAAACACTGGATAAAAATAAAAAGGTGAAAGCAAGCTTCAGCTTCTAGAGTGAGAGAGCGCAAAAAGCAGTTGCGTCGTTATCGTCTGTAGGGCGTCGATCAAGCTAGCTAATCAAGAGCTAAAGCTAAGAAGATATAACATTAGTTGTCTTTCATAATCCTTCATAGGTTACTTTAATATTATTGAATACCACTCAGAAAATATAAAATCCATAGTTCGTAAATAATTTAACTTTTATATTGGGATGAATACTTAATGTATACACTGTATACAAAAATAGCGCGCTTCTTACATCCACTGCGCACCAAACACGCGTGTCTGGTCTGCAAGAGTGCAAGGCCATTTGCAGGACTGCAGTTTGAAGTAATGTGTCATTGAGTAGAATCAATAAGAAAAATCATGTTGTACCACAATATCTGAAACTTCTATAGGATTTACGGTATGTAAAATGTGGCGCTGCAATGCCTTGTATGTTGCAACTTGCAGAATAAACAGGTACCGGGGATGGGCTTTAAGGTTAGGTTAGACCTGAATATTTTATTATTTTTGAAGTTTGTCATCAGGTAGCAAATATTTTTCACAATGGCAGTGTTGCAATGACGTTGTTTTTACTCAGGAGATGTCACTCCATCTGTGTGCTTAGTTATGTTTAGAAGGGTTGCAAACTGCAACAGATGGTTGGTGCACAATTCGATTTATGATGTGAAATAAGGTTTAAATATGCAAATTGTATATTTGAAAAGTGAATCAGCCTTTTTCTACACATTTACCCTGTAAACCTTTATTCCAGGTTACATAATCTTTTTTAAAAGCATGGATACAAATGACATCTTCTGGAAGCTGACTCGAGGTGTCCGCTTTGGAGGTAAAGTTCGCCAAGGGTATAGCAAAAGCTCAGATGGAGTGCCCAGTAAACTACTGCTGTCACCTGGAAGCACCATAGAAGCCACACAGGAGGAGAGCAGTAAAAAGCGAAAGCTATCTACATCATTGGATGAAGATGAAGAGCAAGATTGCACTGTCAAGCAGAGCAGAAAAGCTGCAAAGGCTGGAAAGCAGCCTCCATCAGTGGTTGACCCACTAACTGCCACAGAACAGGTACGGAAGCAGCACCGACTGCACGTGCAGGGCTCTGACGTGCCAGCGCCGGCGGCCACTTTTGACGAGCTCAGCGGTCGACTGGGTGTGCGGACACAGATTGTGGACAACCTGCGGGCGGCTGGCTACTTCGAGCCGACGCCCGTGCAGATGCAGGCGGTGCCCGTGATGCTGGAGCGTCGCGAGCTGCTCGCCTGCGCGCCGACCGGCAGCGGAAAGACGGCCGCCTACCTGGTGCCGGTACTGCAGCACCTCCGCGAGCCGAGGAACGCCGGCTGCCGCGCTCTCATCCTGGCGCCCAGCCGAGAGCTGGCCAGACAGATCGCCCTGGAGGCCTCGCGACTGGCCACCGGCACCGGTCTGCGCGTGCGCTGTCTGGACAAGGCGAAGCGCGCCGCCGACGGCACGCCGCGGCCCGTCTCGCAGAAGTACGATCTGCTGGTAAGCACGCCGAACCGTCTGATCTACCTGCTTGACGCCGAGCCTCCGCTGGTCAGTCTCCGCACCGTCGAGTGGCTGGTCGTCGACGAGTCGGACAAGCTGTTCGAAGCGGGCGAGCGTGGCTTCCGGGAGCAGCTGGGGCGCATCTACTCGGCGTGCGACTCGGCCCAGGTGCGGCGAGCGCTCTTCTCAGCCACATTCGCCCACGATGTGGACCAGTGGTGTCGCCTGAACCTGGACAACGTCGTCACCGTGTCTGTCGGCCAAAAGAACACCGCCAGCGACGTCGTGGAGCAGGAGCTGGTGTTCGTCGGCAGCGAGTCGGGCAAGCTGTACGCCTTCCGCAACATCATGCAGAAGGGACTGACAACTCCGTGCATCATCTTCGTGCAGACCAAGGAGCGGGCGAAGGAGCTGTTCCGCGAGCTGATCTACGACGGTGTGATGGTGGATGTGATTCACGCAGACCGGACGCAGCTGCAGAGAGACAACGTGGTCAAGGCGTTCCGCGCCGGCCGCGTGTGGGTGCTCATCTGCACGGAGCTGATGGGCCGCGGTATCGACTTCAAGGGCGTCAACCTTGTGATCAACTACGACATGCCGCCGAGCACCACTAGCTACATCCACCGGATTGGCCGCACAGGTCGCGCCGGCCGGCCCGGCAAGGCTGTGTCGTTTTTCACCACCAAAGACGTGCCAAACATGCGTCAGATCGCGCACCTGGTGAAAAATTCTGGCTGCGAGGTGCCCGACTACCTGTTGCAGGTGCCGCGCAAGAGCAAGAAGGACCGCCGCGAGCTAGCTGTTCACCCGATTCGACGTGAGACCATCGATACCACGCCCAAGTATGATCGCGACAGGATAGCTCGCATCAAGGCGCTGAAGAAAGCACAGGACAAGCAGAAGCCCTCCTCTACTGAAAATGGAGGCCAGGGAGGCGGTGTTGTGACAGTCAAGCAGAAGAAAAAGGGAAAGAAGCTCAAGGGAAGCGTGAAGGTCGGAATGAAAAAGAGCAAGATAGGAAAGAAAGGGAAGGCAAAAGTGGCTGGCAGTGGAAGCATGTCTGCTGATGGAAAGTGTTCGGGGAAATCGAAGAAGGGTAATAGATTGAAAGCAAACAAGACGGCGAAGGTAACTGACTAGGGCTGTTCAGTGTCCGGTGCATCGTCTTTTCATACAATACATGTACTTGAATCACCTGTGTCTGTAGGTCTGTAGCTACCTGTGGTAGATACCCTCGTAAAATACAACTCTCGCGATTTGATTGATGGCTGAGGATCGCTGCAGAGAAGGCCGGATGATGGGAATATGGTTTTCGCTGTATATATAGTTTTCGCCTTGGTTTTCGCCTTCGAGAAGAGAAGTATAAGAAGGTACACTATTATGAACTGGCTAGAGTCTTTGGATATTTATCATGGCTCAGTTTGCCTGGTGGCTATTGTTCCATTACATGGATCAAGGCAATTGCAACTTGCCAGGCCAGTAGCGGCGGAGCACCTTCATTAAGGGGGGGCACTGCCGACTTTTGGTCCCCCTCTTTCCATGCAACGCCCGTAGGGCTAACATCAAGGGAGGCTAACAACAAGGCTAACATCTATGGCAATATCAAGGGAGGGCATCGTGTCTATGAACTCTGGGCATGGTGCCCCGGTGTCCCCCCCCCCCCCCAGTTCCGCCGCCTATGTGCCAGGCCCTATATGCTGGTAATTTCAAGATTCTTACAGACTTACAGATAGGTAATGATTCCTAAAGCAAGACTGACGGACCGGCGCTTTTAGTTTTTAATGACGTCACAAGAACGACAATTGTATCAGCCGTCTATTGCCGAGTTCTATTCCGTCTATTGCCGTCTATTGCCGTCTATTGCCGAGTTCTTAAAGGAAATAGTTCACTTTTTAACATGGGTTTTGAACTGGAATAGCAGTTCCGTAGCTTGGGCTGAGACGAGCATAAATCAGGAGCTTTTACAGCCCAACGATCACCCTAGGCAAAGATATTCTATTGAGGGCTGTTCACGGGCCCTGTGTGCGGTCGGACCGCACACAGCCTCCAAGCTCCGCCCACTGCGTCCCTACGTCAGCCTTCCGTCACCGCACACAGCGATCGCTGTGGCCGGTCGGGACTGGCCACAGCGGACCGTCCACCGCACGCAGCCGTGACGTCAGAACCGCCTACCCATCCCCTACCCCCACGCCTGCTGGACGCACCGCACACAGCGCACGCAGCAGTGTGCGGTGCCCGTGAACACCCCTCCGAAAAAGGTGTCTTGCGTTGAGGATGTGTGCCTTGCATATATTTCCATCCAGTATGAAAAGAGCATGGGTCCCGAAAATTCTTCAGAAACTAGAGAAATTATCTACGAGAACTCTAGAGAAATTCTCGTACTGATCAATTAGGACATTCAGGGGAACATTATCAGATCGAGCAGATCAGAGCAGATCGCCCAAATGCCGGTGGCTGCGATAATTTCTCTGTTTCTGAAGAATTTTCGGGACCCATGCTCTTTTCATACTGGATCGCGTGTGCCTTACAGAAACTGAAAAGTTCTTCCTATATCAAAATATAGAAAAAAAATCTTTTGTTATAAAAAGGTTTTATTTTCTTTGCTGATTATTTTGAACATAAAAAATCATAAATCGTTGCAAAAAAAAAAAAATTTCGTGAAAGTGAACTATTTCCTTGCATACGACACATACGTTGAAACTGAGAACGCCCCGTTTCGATTCGTTTCCGTTGATGGAAGAATTATCTCTAAAAAATTAGAAATGGTAATGCTCGGATGTTAATTCAACTACATCCATAACAGAAGCACTTTTAGAGCTCTTTTCTCCATCTACCTTGCCCTATCCCCAAAAAATAACAGTAAGTTGTGTCATTACTTTCTGTAGTGAGCTTGTCTCGCGCCGATTTCGCCGCGATTTTTCTTGCTGTGAAATGAGGAAAATGATATTTGTGTACTCGATGTAGGCTTATGTATATTGCACAGACTGTCAGATTCTGTACACAGGAGGGAGAGGTAAGTACCACTTCAGGGGGCTGTTCACGGGCCCTGTGTGTGGTAGGACTGCACACAGGCTCTAAGCTACGCCCACTGCCTTCCTATGTCATCCTTCCGTCACCGCACACAGTGGCCGCTGTGGTCGGTTGGGACCGGCCACCGCACGCAGCCATGTGATGTCATACCACCAGCACATTCCCTACCTCCATGCCTGCTGGGCACACAGCACACACTGCACTCAGCAGTTTACAGTGCCTGTGAACAGCCCTCGGAGTTGCTACATTACTCAGCTGTTATTTTTAGATAAGGGCAGGCTGGGGATTGGGATAAGGCTCCTGAGTGTATAGCATGGCAATCTTCATGAGACATGGTCAGTGAGTGAGGACTGAGGCACTCATGGACTGGTGGATGGTGTGGTGCAGTACGGCTGACGGCATGGAGTGGTGTGGGCCCCAATGTGGTATGGCACTGGTGAACTGTTTTAAGTACAGGCTACAGCCCAGGTACATCATTGTCCAACAAAATGATGTATGGGGATTGGGGACTAAATGTGCTTGGCCAGGGAATAATTGACCTTTTATTGTGGCTTTTCATAACTCATACCAAAAGCACTAATATCTGCAATTTGTGGTAGAAGTCCAGGTCTTCCCATTATAGCCACCTTGACACCATTTTTTCTTTTTTCAACCTTCTTATTTCTTATCTCCAAGCCTTTAACCTTGCAATTAATCGGGATATCCAACTCATTACACTCCGTTTTTATCTATGCACATAAGCAAACATTAAGCTTTGTATGAAGAGTCCTTTGCCCTTGCAAATCTCCATTCCAAATCCCAAAGTTTTTCCATTCCAAACCAACACACCTGAGCACTGCATGTTTTCCTTGTTTATCAGTATGCATTGGGTTTCCTAGCTTTTCATTGGTGACATCTAATTTTGAACTGTTTTCACAAGCCTTTAGATGGTTGTTAAATGTTTCCCATTTGAAGCTGAAATGTTTGCAGCCTGCTGATACATTCTCATATTGTAGATACTTAATCCATGGTACGCACTCCTCTCTCTCTCTCTGTTTCAGATGCATTTTATGCTCCTCTTCAGCAGACAAGGCAAGCTCAGGCTTCAAAAATGGTATTGTGCATACCCAGAGAAGCAGAAGAAGAAAACAACACGAGAGCTGATAGCAACAGTGCTTTCAAGAAAAGCAAAGATGTGCAGCTTTTTGGAGTGGAAAGACTTGAAGATTGTGTATAAGAGGTTTGTTTCTCTGCTTTTTCATGAAGGCATTGTTTGCAATTCATGTGTCACATGTCAAGTCTTGTCTCAATGAGTGTCACACCTTGTGGTAGCTACTTTTCTGTTGCTCTTTCCCAGATGTCTGACCCTGTTCTTACCTCTGCTCTATCGCCGTCTCGGCAGGTATGCGTCTCTGTACTTCTGCTGCGCTATCGACAGCGACGACAACGAGCTGCTGACGCTGGAGATAATCCACCGATACGTGGAGCTGCTCGACAAGTACTTCGGCTCGGTATGACACAACTCCGCTCGCACTCGCCGCACAGTGTAGCTCTGGTCACCCGTATGGTATCTGATGAGAATCGTCTTTTTTACATATATGATACGTTTTTTCAACTTTCCAATGCCTGTTACTTGCCGATTGCATCTGATTTTAAGTCCCTGACTAGTGCCAATGAGACGAGAGAAATCAGACAAAGAGTTAGTGTAACCTAGAGTTTCGAAAGCCAAACAATTTCCTGTCATGTTATTGCATGTGAAGTAGAGGTGGCAAAATGTGGACCCGGGGACCCGGTCTATGGAACCGGTCTGGACCCGGATGGGTCCAGACCGGGTCCCCCAAAATATTTGGCCGGGTCCAACCGGGTCCTATCATTTCCCTGTGCTTTATGGTAAACATTAATATCTTTTATGCTTTGGCAAACATAGTCATAGTTGATGCAGTTTCCAGTTCATAAGTCCCAATTCCACTTTTGAATTTTAATATTCCAGCAGATTGGGCTACCTATTCTATAGCATACTGATACTGGTCAGTCTTGCTTCAATTTCTTATCTTGTCTTGTCACCTACAACAGAATAAACAAGTTCTAAGTGCTAGCAATCCAGAAAACATTTCACCAAATGTTTGTACGGATCACTTCCATTCAGTTTGCTGTACAGCACCTAGCAATATTTTGAGCTGTAGAAATCAAATACCAATAACATATGTAGGTAAGTAGGTATGACTGAAATCCATTTATAAATGGACACAAATCCAATTGAAGCAAGGCTGACCAGTGGCATTCTCACCTGCCTTTTCAAAGACATTGACATACCAAAGTCACTATGCCCACCGGAAATCAGAGTTCATGTTTGATATTCAAATGCATTTCATAACTCAAACAGCTTTGAAATTATTTCTATCACGGCCTGGGCCCTGTTTCACCGGTGATAGCAGCACGCTGCTCTCAAATTGCGCGAGCTGACGTAATGTGATGACGTCATACTGCTGACGTAAGGGGCAATTCTGGCGCACGATTGCCGCTATATTGTTTTACGTCATCAGCTAAATGTTCGAAGTTAATGTCCAAATTTTTCCTAAACTTAACTTCTTTTAAATACATCATATTGAAAAAATATATATCAAAAATATATATATACTATAATGACTGCGTAAACTCTTACTTTTAGGCTCATACGTCACTTAATGCCGCCGCCAAGGTCGCGGCAATCGTGCGCCGGAACTACCCATTACGACAACAGTATGGCGTCACGACATGACGTCAGCTCGCGAAACGTGATAGCAGCTTGCTGCTATCACCGGTGAAACAGGGCCCAGAAGACAACTCATAAAACCAACATGCCCTTGCATAAATCCATAAAGCTAAAAATGAATCCAAGGCATTCTCCAGAAACCGTAGTATTGATCAGATTTTAGCCAACTAGCGCCGCATGGTGGCGCTAGCAGAGCGTATTATACATATAGCGCTCTACTAGCGCCATCATACGGCAGCAGCTGACAAAAAACTGAGTCAATACCAATGCCCTTCTCCAAGGCCAATGATTCCGTGTTGATGTGAAAATGGCGCATTTGAGCGTCATATATGCTATACCTTACGCACGCTAATCTACTGCATAAAGGTTACAATTTTGGAACACGTTCGGGAAGAAAGTCTCAGAACCCTTGGTATTTATTCTATGTCTAGGTACTAACAACAAAATGTAGTTTGTTTTCTACGTTAATAAATTGGCACTTAAGTCATGATCGCAACCTACTTAACCGACTTGCAGTACTTAAAGTTTATTGCCATTACGATTTTGCAGTACATTAACCCCAACAAAATTTTGCAGTGATTTAACGCTTGTTCTGTCGTGTCGACATTTCTGGCGAACCTCACACAGTTTTCATGTTTCTATTTTGATTTTGAATGTTTTATCGTTTGGGGCCTTTGATAGTTGATAATATTTGTAAGGACTAATGAATTTAATTCTAAAAAGGAATATCTTTTACCAAGAATATTAGAAAAGGTATGTATCAGTATGGTTATTGGTTATCTTGTTCCATGTTGATGTTAGGTTCTTGTTCTTCTGACTCTGGTGAAGGCACTGGTCCATGGATCCCCAGTTCACATCATTTTTAGCAGCTGTAGTAAAAGTGGCTTAGGTTAGCATGAAATTCATTGGTCTACTTACTTCTTATATTCTTAAATATGACCTGAATCTGGTTCCAAAATACAAACTGCGAAGCGAAGTGAAATGACCATGGCATGAGTTTTTTACTTTGCAACACAAGTATGCCAAATTGGAAAGAAACTATTTTCTTTTGCTATACCTACAATTGTACACAATTTTCATAATGAATTTCGGGAACGGGTCCATCTGGTTCCAACGCTGACTTAGACCGGGTCTGACCGGTTCCAGAAATGTGCCAGTCAGACCGGGTCCGGGTCCGGGTCCCAAAATTTTCCAGTTTTGCCACCTCTAATGTGAAGACATTCGCGATTGACATCGCCAGATAAAGATCACGGCTGTATAGATGATAGATAACAGATGTGTCACTACTTGTTGCTTCCTTTCGGAATCCGCTGCCGACAGGTATGCGAGCTGGATATCATCTTCAACTTCGAGAAGGCGTTCTTCATGCTGGACGAGCTGCTGCTCGGCGGCGAGATCCAGGAGACGAGCAAGAAGAACGTGCTGAAGGCCATCACGGCGCAGGACCTGCTCCAGGAGGTCAGTCACGATGCTGATCCGTATGAGCTGTAGCGCTTGCTGCTGCCGCCGCCGCCGCATGAGCGCCGCAGCGTCAGCGATTGGTCGCCGCTCGCGGCGTGCTTTGCGCTGATTGGTCGTCGCGTGCCGTCGCTGCGATGTGATTGGTCAGTGTCGCCTGAAGCGCTCTGTGGTGTCTGTCCGTCCGATGGTGGGGAGATGGGTCGGGGCGGCTCGGTCCGACTGCAAGGCTTGTGCTGCAGTTACTGAGTCGGTAGCGTACTGGGACGAGGAGGAGTGACGTATGGGGTTATTTTGGCTGCTAGTTATCAGCCTGCATTGTTATGTTCGATTTGTTTGGTAGTAGTAGTTACCATGTATGTAGCTAGAATTTTTGGGTGTCGTGAGAAATGTGATTATTGAGCCATGCGATCAACACTACTTATATGATCACGGGTCCCCAGCACTACCAGTAGCTGATTTTATTGGGCCGGTATCGCAAAAGAAAATGGGCTTATTCATGCATTTAGCTGTACTTCACAACACCATTCCGTTTATCTGAAGTTTGTGCGAGACATTCCCGTACGAACAAAAGTTTTTTTCAGTCTTTGACAGTTTATAAACTATTCTTTGTGCACTGACACACAGAAATCCTTTGTGAGCAGTTAACGTCCATAAAATCTTGGAGATCAATCACCTTCATACATTTCTGTTCCGTCCAAGCTCCGAGCACGCTCGACACCAACTGTTATCTCTGTGGCATGCTGTGCTTCTGGTGCTTCCTGCATGTTCACCGCTCGGGGCCCGCCGGTCCGGCCCGCGCTGTGTCAGCTGCCGGTGCGGACCGCCGACCGGGACCGCGGCGGCTGAGCTGTCGCCCCGCAGCCGGGTCATTGTCGGGGGCATGCGGGGAGCTCCGCCGGCGGACGGGCCGCCGTCTGTGTGGTGCTGTCCGCGCCTCTGCCGCGCACGGAGGGGCGGGCCCAGACGCGGCAATGGAATCAGACCCGTCAGTGGCTACCCGTGACCCGAACAGCTAGAGCCCACAGGAGGCCGGGTGGATAGGAAAATGACGGGGCTCGTTAGATATGGGTCATCGCAGGATGAACAAGACATCGCCGTTGACCTGTCGCTGATGGTCAAAGATTGCTGCAGCTCATGAGGTTCGATTTGTAAAGCGTCGCTTAGTTACAAAGTAGCTGAAAATTTTAACAGGGTTAGTGACATGCTCAATGTTTGTGGGTGATGTTTTGTTAGGTGTTCTAGATGCACGAAAGTAGATACCTAGATGGAAAGGCGATTATTTTTAAGAATGCTCAAAATTTGGGTGGATTTGCAGGAGTCAAGTTTCTGCGAACTCAATGTCATTGACTGTGTATTTATTGAGGCCTGCTAAGAAAAGACGACGCGAAACCAGACCGTAACACTGTGCTCATGGATGAAAGATACATCTTTCATCCATGCTGCGGCATATTTCAGTTTCGACATAGTTATTCACCGATAAGTTCACTTTACTTTCGTTTTTGTTTTTGTCCGTGCACACTGTGCGCCGTCTTCACCTGTGACGTGATCGCTCGCTGGCCGCCTGCGTCTGCGCACTGGCTGTCTCCCCCGTGACTGACCCCGGCGCGCGGGAGCGCGCCCCATCCCGCCCCGCTCGGCGCGGCGCTCATGCTGCCCGTCTGTTTCTAGGACGAGGTCCTTGAGGACGCCCTGAGATCTGTCGGGCTGACATAGGTACCGCACTGAGCGTAAGACCGAGCCCTCTCTATATGCATTCTCAGTTGGCTGTCGTTACTAGAGCTGCGCGCCGCGCCAATCGCTCGCCCGCTCTCTGTCTCTATCTCGCTCTCTCCGCTCGCTCGTTGGCTCGCTCGTTATGTATCTCTCTCCCTCTCTTTCTATTAGCCTGAGGCGGCACTCGCCGCCGCTCGCCCGCGTGTTGCCCGACTGTGTATCTGGCTGTTTCTGTCGTTCTGCCGCGAGGCCGCTCGCAGCGCGCTGCTCAGAATGGCTCTACTATCCGTGTCGGTGACTGGCTGCTGCCGCGCCCTGCAGCTGCCGCTCGGCAGATCGCATGCGGGCGGGCCGGAAGGGAGGTAGTTCGGGGAATAGCGTACCTCCTTGAGCGATGTGGATCACCGGAAGTTCCTTACTGTCAGCGGTAGCCTCTGAGGCGATTGTTAGATGCGTTTTTACTTTCCCTTCATGTGGAATGTGTCACATTAGTCTTTTCTAAAATTGGTAAATGCGTGATAAATTTACTGTATTTCAGCATGATTTCTTAAATAAAACATTTGTCGTTTAAATGGTAAGATAGATCAGACCAGGGATAACCAACGATTTATTTGATAAAGTGGTTCAGCGTTCCGTTATTTTTGTTCTATCCAAAAATAGTGTAGTCGTTAATTATTCAGTTGTCCCACCTTCTTCAAATGTCTGCGAACCTCTCGGGTGTTATTGCCGCCTCTGCTTTCTAGTTCTTGCCCGCTAGAGTAGTCCCGCTCCGTGTCGATGGCCGTCCCCGGCGTCGCGTAGTTGCTCGGCTGACCGTGGAGTACGAGTAGTGTCCGGTGTGCGGATGGACCGGGCGCGGGACGGCGGCCCGCTGAGCCCGGTCGGCGCGCGCGCTGTGCAGTGTGCACGCCCGTGACTGGCCGCGGCTCACCCTTCCCTCCCTCCCTGTGTCCGTGTGCCGCGCTCAGAGGAGTCACGTGGACCCGGCGGCCTTTGTGCGCCACATACCGTGTGAGTGCGGCCGAGGCGCGGCCGGCCCGCCCCCGTCGCCACGCGCACCGTCCGCCCCGCCCGCGCACGGCCGGGCCCCGCCCCGCGCACCGTCCGCCCCGCCCCGCGCACGGCCGGCCCCCCGCCTGCATGCACGGGGCTCTCGGGTCGCACGGGACACCCTGCTTAGCACACGAGGAGCTTGGGTACGTGTAGAAGGGACGTTTGAGCAGATTTGTGTGAATCTGCGCAAACACTTCCTTCTGTCTCTGTAAATCGGTGGTTAAGATACTTGGTTTGGAGCCCGCACAATGCACAATGCTTCTTTTGTATATGTCTTGATCACTTTTTGGTACTTCGGTTGCCCATAGTGTTAGTCAAGTGGCCTACACATGCTAAGGAATAAGATGGTTTTGAACTGTTCTTGGCAAACGAAAGTTATTTCACCTATCTGGCCTCAGGTGGACGGGCAGTGTTTTTGTGCTCGGCACATATTTTGATCATGAACTAAAAATTAAAGATGCCGAATCGTTTGACCTGTTTTGTTGTTTCCTAGGAGGACGCGGCGGACAATATAATGAACGACTTAGGCATTATTTAGGCTCCTGCCGGGGGCTGTGTTTCGCAGTGTATGTAATGTCTTCACGTTTTGTGAACGGTGATGCGCGGTCGAACCCGTCTGTACTTATTCCCGCACTGCGCACGAATACATTCCCTGCCGCTGCTGCTGTCTCGCCTAGTGCCGGCTTTTCTCTCTGTCGCGCCTGCTCTTCGCTGTGTGGACGTTCATTATTGAGTTGTTTAGCCATCAATATCTACATGTAGTGTATCTTCTAATCGCATGGTATTCATATTAACTACTTGTTTTCTTTGGAATATAGCGCACGGATATGGAGTCTGTTTTATTTACTGGTTGCAAGCTGTACTAATATGTTGTTATGCAGTACCTGTATATCAGCATGCATTTATCACGATAGGGTGCTATACAAGTGACACTTGGTGTTGAGACTTGAGACTTAACCTGCATAGAAACAGGCTGTCTCCAAACGAGCTGTGCCGTCTTCATACGAGCCAAAAATGCATGACACGCTTCTGTGTAAGTCTCAGAATAGAATTTCGTTTCTTAGTTTGTACCATTTTCTTCGATCTATCCGTGGTGAGCAATAAAGCATGTCCAGTTTACCTTGTCTCTCGCTGTTTGCCGGCTGTTTTCGGGCGAACAACCTCATCTCGGGGGCAGTACTGGGCGGGGCGGGGCGGGACGCGGTCGTGCAGAACACCAGTAGCCAGAAGTGGCGAGAGGGCAGTCGCCTGCCACGCCACTGACCTTTGACCTGTTCCTGCAGGAGGAGACGCCTCAGGGCTTCTTTGATGACCACGGGCTCGGCTAGCGGTCCGGGCGGCGGCGCGGGCCGCGTGGGTCGGGTCGGACGTGCGCCGGGGCGGTGGTGGCGGTCGCGCAGCGGTGCGCTGTGGCTGAGTGGACCGCCGAGCCGTGTGCTGCCGTGTGGAGGCACTCGCGAGAGACATTCCATGCGGCGTGTGGTGGCGTGGGTGTTTCAATCTGATCAAGTCTATCCGTGCGGCCATCTTTGATGGACTCTCGGCAGCCTCTGTTGTGATTTGATGTGCACTTGGTATATTCTCACTTTTTGTTTTTCAGTTAAAGATATGCCCGTAGTGTTTGTAATCATGACAGTTTTTGTCCTGGATTGTGAAATGGTGGCATGCTCTGTTGTTTATGGTTGAAAAGTGATTTTTCTGGGCTGCCATCGGTAATTCACTTCTTTAATGATTGTTTCACTAGGCGTAATGAATAATAAATAAACTGTATTATTGATGTCATAACGTGTCGTCTTTTTAATTCAAACTGAGGGCATGTGTCAGATAGTTATTTCCATGACTTCTGTTCAGCGGAGTGCGGCTGTCAAGTCTTTTTTCGTCGCTGTTACTCAAATGCTCAATTTCTCCACGTCATAGGGGAGGGCCGCCCAACATTGGAACTTGGAAGCACTAAACGCGGGACTCTGTTGGCATATGTGTATGCTCGGGAGATGTCTGCATGGACATGCGGTCCTAAATGATGTACGGACTACGGAGCTACGGTTAGAGTAGGTGGTTCGAGCACCGTGATATCGGTGGAGACCGCCGACGAATTATCCCGCCAGTCCAGGCACGTTACACGTTTGCCTGGCGATAAAGCCGGCACCAGTCATCAGTGGTTGCACGGACACTGAACGCTCGGTGTGCAATCATTACAATCAAGGCCCTAAAAGCAGTCATAATCATCACAGGCACTGGTATTAGGATAGCACATGATGGCTGACGGAGCTTCGAATGGTGCTATCATCACGGGCGAGTTGTCAACAGACAAGTCAACAGACCTACACATCTTCAATGGGTCGACATATTCAGCATCTGCCGACTAGAATCCGGATACCAGCGAAAAGCAACACCCAATCCGTCGAATCCGAGATGGTGGACAAATCGATCACGAACCCGGGATTCATACAGGTCGGTAGGTAGTAGGTACTAAAGAAGGCGATATTTGACCAGCCGAGATGCTAAATTCTCTCGACCATGGACTGGTCTGGTTTACGGGCGGGCGTGAGCAGGGAGACGGGGCGTAGACCATGTTTTTGAACATTTGTGTTTGTGGCAGTGCAAGAAAAACATCCATCAATTTTTACGGCTGCCCTCCTTCCCCCTTGCTCCGGACTGTCACAGCACGGCCAGTGCAGTGGTCTCCGCTTTGGGGACAGTTGGAGACTGGAGAGACAAGGTAGAAAAGAGAGAGATAGAAGATAGAGACAAGATAGAATACTGGAAAGAAAGCGCCCAGTGTAATTAACCGCTGTTCATACTGGAGGGCTGGACTCTATACACAAAGCCTATGCCTACTGGTGTCTGATTACCGTGAACTGGTGTTGAACTTTAAAGGGGGGAACGCAAATTTGCCTTTTACTATTTCCATTTTATACATGCCGATCCCCTCTTTTCGTTTTAGTGGCGACTTCTAAATTGACGATGACCGGATTATTTCCACTTCATATTCTTCTCCAAAATTTCTGATCCTAACTGACGTCACAAAAGCGAGCTGCTATTGAAGCAAACTGCGATGATTTTGTGCAGGTACTGTAAATCATGCTAGAATTTTGTTTTGAATTCTTTGGATTGTTCATGTTTTATTGGAGATAAAAATCAAGCTTACTTTATAACGGGAGGTGTCTCCGTTGTCTCCGTTTGCATGCCATGAACTCTAACAATTCTTAGACGTCATTTTTCCTGTAGGGGATTGACTTCGACCGTGCGCTTTTGGCTTTGGCCTTGGCTTTTATCAGCTGACGAGGCACTTGCGAGAGGAGAGAGAGTAGTGTGTGTGGGAGGCAAAACAAAAGTTTATCGGAGTTGTTTTGGGGGCCTTTGTCCTCGGGTGGCTCATAATTCGCATTCTGCCTATTCGGGTTGTTTGTGGATGTTTTTGTATTTTGCCGTTATCTTGTAATTTTCTAGGTCCTGCCCGTTCAGCATTTTATCACACGACCTCAACCTCGAAACTAACGAGCTCAAACTTCGGCTTGAGGAGTTTCCGTTTTGGCTTCAGCTTGGGTTCAGACCTTAGTTCAGAATCCCTTCATAAATTTGGAAGCATTGGTATTAGGTGAGTTTATTTGTTTTTCATCTCAAACTTAAGAAAAAGGTGCTAGTTTCAGGGGGTAATGGGCTCACTCTGACTCTTTGAGCATTATCACCAGTATAACACCTTTTGGGGCGACCAAGGGAGTGAGCGAGAGGGTGGGCCTTGCACCCTGTGAAATTGCGAGGGGGTACCTCCAACTGACTTGTGCACAGCACCCTACTAACCGGTCTAGCAATGTGCCAAATTTGAGCACAATCGGCCCAGCCGTTCTCGAGATCTTGAAGCGGCGCCCTGCGGCCTGCACGTGCGTTGATATGTGAAATGGGTTTCAACTGACTTGCACTGCACCCTACCAACAGATCCCTAACCGTGTATCAAATTTGAGCGCAATCTGTCCAGTCGTTCTCGAGATCTGGAATCCGCACATGCGCACATGCAGCAGCACCCCAACCTCGGCACATGCAAATGCATTGCCTAGTGGGTGCTTATCTACATGCCAAGTTTCAGCGCAATCGACCCAGTAGTTACCGAGATATTGCAATTGTTACAAAAACTGATACCTCTTTGTTTTGCACATGGCACATGCATAAGGAAGGGGTCACCCACATGCATCAGGAATAGTCCAATACTTGGTAGAAGAAACAAAGCTATCCTACAAAAATTACCATAAGTAAATCTGTCAAGTGGTTGCTGAGATATAAGCCTGTCCCGTAGCTCAGTTGGTTAGGGCGTTGGACTCTGCGTGGTGAGAGCACCCGTTCCCGGTTATGACAGTCCGGGTTCGAAGGGTTCGAAGCGCGACGGGCGCTCGACATTTATGGGCCTCCTGACAGGTATGGTTGCGGTTGGTGGCAGGCCGTAGCCAGGCGAAGTCAGCGAGGGGACCGGCCGTGCGCGGCTTTGTGCGCACGTTAAACTTTGGACTCTAAATTCCAGGGGCGCGGGAACTACGTTCAGACTGGGGGGGGGGGGGGCACACCATAATAGAGATCAACCTAGGGTACCCCTAAATCTAGTTTTCTCACCAGTTTTAGGCCACTTATTTTTCATCCCTTAGCTTTTTCAACAAAAAAGAAAACATTTGCAAAAAAGTGTGGTATTCCGTCTCAAAGCTGTGGGGGCAACGCCCCCACGGCCCCAGAGTTGGGGGGGGGGCAAGCTGCCCCCACTGCCCCCCCGGCTCCCGCGCCTATGCTAAATCCTGCCATAGAATCGGAATTGCGCGATCGGAGGATAGAGGGCAGGGTCATCGCAACAAGCTTTGCTTAGCGGTGGCTCTGTCCTTGTGAATCCTTCCCATCAAAAGGTTCGGACTAAATTTATAAAAAGAAAAAAATATAAGCCTCTCAAAAGCATCCACAACCACACCTCATGCTTAGAAATTTCCATTAATCTAGGAAAGACAAAGTGTGACACATTCATGGAGGATCTTCTGTAACTTCCATTTAAGTGATGTGTTCCATCCAAATTCTAGCAGAAATCAAGTGGCTCATGCCACAACAATTGCCTAAATGCATCAAGAGTACTCTATTTCAATGTGGAAGGGACGGCTCTACCTAATAAAAAGGACCCCAGGTCAATCGACTCAGTGGTTGCTGAGACATGATCACGTAAAAGGTGTTACAGGAGGTCATGCCGCTCATTCTGATATTTTTCAGTTTTGTTGAAAAGTCTGGCTTTGCACAAAGCACAAGTGCTTGCTCATAGTTAAAGAACGGTACTTCCCGAAGTGCAAAGTATGATATACAATACATTTGTTGATATTATTATGGTTTTGACTGACTAGCATCTGACAGTTATTTTATGTTGTGCACACAATGCCAGCAGCCATCTGCTGACTGTTCTTCACCCCACCACCGTCGCCATCCGCAGGCAGCCTCTGTCCGCGACCACGATGCACCCGGAGCCGATTGTGGCCGCCGAGTTCCCGGTGGCGGGTCTGGTGCCCAAGCGGGAGACGGGCGTCAGCAGCCTGCACCAGCTGTACCCAGAGCTGGACGGCAGGGGCGTCACCATCGCCATCTTCGACAGCGCCATCGACCCGGCCGCGCCCGGACTGCAGGTGAGTCTGAGGGGTCGCCGTGTGGGTGGGGTGGGCTCGGCGCGGTCTCCCGCCCACTGGGCCTGTGGGTAAGCCTGGCCTGGTCTCTCGGCTGCCGCTCACGATGGCTGAACCCGGCTGGGATCGGTGCGGTTCTAGACCGTTCCAGGCTTGCAGGTGAAACCACACCGACCAATCCGACCGGCTTAGTAAAGAGTTCCACTACATACACCAGTCCACTGAACTAAGGTATAGTTGGAGAGAGATAGCTCATCAGCTCTACTGATTCTGTGAATGCTGAGTGGGCTTTTAGGAGCACAAAGCTCAATGACTGGAAATTGCTTCACTTGTTGATATTGTGGTGACTGCCGTGAATCCTAGAGCTGGCTTCTATGCTACATTGGTTATGTAGTCAGCCATGGTTCTGTCGACATGAGCTGGCAAAGATCAAGAACGATTGATGTAGGAGTTACATCTGATCCGTACATAATTCGTTATTTATTTCCTTCGCTGAGTCCACTTAAGTCCCGTTTGATAAGCTTTCTGCTCTTGTTCCGTAATCCGATTCCGGAATAGAATGCCTGCCCCTACTGTATAAAACCGCGCTCAAACTTCTTGAGCGTTATTGGTAGACGTCGAAATTCTTCTATCTCTGCTAAGACGGCTTTTCCTTCGTGATACGAGCCGTCCTTATGTAGAGATGTTGGTTTTGACATCCATTTGGGAAGTTTTTTTTCCTTCTGGAGCTGGAGCTGTTGACCTGAAATCAAATTTAATAGCGTGTTATAATAAAAGCTATTTTTTCTTGTGATGCTGCAGCTCTGTTTGTTTTTCAAGGTTTCGCCTATTCATCCAAAACTGTCAGAATCGTTAAAATTTGGCCTTTGATAAACTATGAACATCTGGTCGACCTGACATTTGACGAGACCGAAATGAGACTGGATAACATGCTTGCTTGTATGATGACCTTTGAATATAACGACCTTTCGGAGCTCGTTTGTTACCGCTACGTATCTGAAGGCCACGGGATACGTTTCATATTGCCGCGTAGCCTAGGAGCCAATTGCGAGGGGAGCGTTCAAGCGCTTAGTGCCCCATCTCCAGCAGGGCGTGGGAATACTGATCGGATTATCATTGGAAAGTTGGGGTCTCAGCGGGGCGGTTTGCGGCTCAGGTCATGCAATACTAAAACATCGGAAAGGATAACGGCGAGAACAAGGTCGAACCTTGTTACTGGGTACAGTTACCTTGTTTGCCTGTTTGCCAAGTCCTAACAAAGGCAGTTGTACCTACTTGTATCTGGAGCTCCAGTTGCATTCGGAGCTTCGATAGTGACTCACCTACATTTGCTGAAATGTTTTCCCGTCTTTTGCGGGGCTCATGTCCATTATCCCCGTTTATGTTAACTCTTCAGTCCGGTCATTCGTGTAAGCAATCGCGAATCTGGGACAACTGCACCGTTTCCAGTCCAGACGTCCATCGCTGCTGCTTTTATGCCGCGTCCGCCGCGCCGGCCGGGGTGGTATTTAGATCGGACACTGTGACTGGTCCGCTTACGTAATCGAACCCCGTAGTTGTGCCGTTGGGAGGCGCACATGACGCGAATGCGCGGCCGTTGCATCAGCTTTGTGAACTCGCTTTGCTGTTGGACGTGATCCAAGGTTGACTGCGCCGTGCCTGACTCAAGCTACTGTATGCGGCGGCTGATAATGACTATCAAGGAAGTTCCCACCTATGTTATCCTCAGAAAAGTGCTTGTTGCATTGAGCGGAGTCTCCGTAGTTTATCGATTACATGACGTGACATTTCGTTATCGAATATGCAAGAGATTAGGTGGCAGTCAATAGCAGCAGACACTATCTTTCTTGTGTAACCGGAAGTTCGTGATCAGCTGTACACCGAATAAGCACTGGTGGCCTTTATACTTTCTTAATTGGTTCTAGTTTATTATGGGTTGATTAGCAGGCTTATGGGTGCTTTTTGCGCCCATCGCTGTTGTTAACAGATGTCCAATCTTAAAAAGGGCTCAATATACTAGGGTTGACTATTAAGTAATGGAAGTGCCTTAAGCAATTAAACGTTTTTGCACGTGCACATGTTTTCTTGGTGTCATTTCATGCGCCGATGTTTTTTCTATCCAATGGTGAAGACCACATGTCCTTAGCTACTTCTTGCTCCAAGCTATCGTCGTTTTCCCAAGAGACCACCCGAACCTGCGGCGCACCATGAAAAAGGAGTCTGGCAATGACCAAAATCGCGCGCCAAGCGCCAGCGCGAGGTCATCAGAGCTTATTGGCTTATCGTTATAGCTACACAATGGACAATTTCTATATTTTCATCAAAACAATACACATTGGCACGATAAATGACAGCATACACTACTCCACATAATCGCCTTCAAGCATCACACACCATTCCAGCCTCGTCTTGACCCACTCCTGGAACGCCGCCAGAGGACTGATCGGCGCTTTCTTTCTCAAACCGATGAAACCACCGACATATCGTCTGTGGGGAGGCTGCGTCGCTCCATACACTTAGAAAATAAATTTTCTGATATTGGTAGGCCTTTTCCCTACGACAAACTGAGCTCTAATGACCTTGCACTCGGCGCTGGCGCGCGGCTTTGGCCATTGCCAGGTGGTGCGCCACAGGTTCGGGAGGTCTCTTGAGAAAACGACGATAGCTTATAGCAAAAAGTAGCTAGGGACATGTGGTCTTCACCATTGGATAGAAAAAAGATCGGCGCATGAAATGACACCTAAATAATGTGTGCACGTGCAAACCCGTTTAATTGCTTAACACGCGCAGTGGAAGGGTTGCGAGTACTACGCCCAGTGGAAGGGGGGGGGGCGGATGTCGCCCCCCCTAAGATCTCAGCTCCCACTGGAGCTAGAAAGACGAAATTTGGAGGGTAGGTGGGGGCCATGGGGAACTCTGTTGTGTGTGAATTTCATGACCCTAGGTCAATATCTTCAAGGTCAAATGAGGTCAAATGTGGTCAAATCTGCCATATTAGCGACTTTTTTGCGTTTACACGCCGATAACTCAAAAAGTTACCGGCCGATTTTCTTTTTTCTTTCACTATACGAAAGAACAAACATTTGGGAGTATGTATGGTGAATTTCTAGATAATCCAACAATAAATATGGCAGTTAGAAGCCTGCTAAGGATAAGATGTTGCCGGCTGAAGCGGGATCGGCGGACGCGGGAAACGCGGCAATCACAATTTTGTGTTTACACACTCATAACTCAAATTGTTTCCGGCCGATTTTCAAAATTCTTTGACCATATGATTGCCTGTACATTTCTCAGTCTTCTCACCGAATTTGACGCGAATCTAATATAATCAGCGGTAAGGAGCGCGATGTAAAGACGGAACCGTCCCGCCCCGGCACAGTCTACAATTCAGGCGGCGCGTAACAGCTAGCGCCGGCCGCCGCGCCGCCGCGCCGCCGCCGCGGCAGGATGTTTGACTTTACACCGCTATTACTAGAAAAGTTGTGAACCGATTTTCTTATTTCTTACACGAGAAGATCTGCAATTCAATTTTGGACAGGTAGCCAAAATTTCACATTGATATTATGTTCGCGGCGCGAGTTATTGGCGAAAAACAGGAGGGGTGGGCGAAATCCGCCCCCCCCTTCCACTGCGCGTGTTAAGGCACTTCCATTACTTAATAGTCAACCCTAGTATAAGCTGCAGAAAACGGCTATTAAATGCAAGATGGTTTTCACGCATTTCAGTCCATCGTATGTTGACAGTCCAAAGAATCATTTCGTCGACTCAGATAACCGTTTGTCGGCACTGGTATCACTGTCGATGTTACCAAATGCCGTAAATAGAATAGTACGGCATTTTATAAGATTAGGCAGGAGACATCACACATACGTTACAGCTTACAAACCTATATCAACAGCGAACAATGACTCTCATGTATGGGCGTCGATGACGCCTGAAGCCCGGGCGCCCTTAAATAACAAATCATCACCTCAATTTATTCTGGGCTCTGGAATCACCACAAGGCGCTCACGAGTCCATGTGAACACGTTCGCTTTTACCAAAGTTGGTTCTCCAAACGATTGGTCATTAATCAATCAGGATTACAAGGAGATCTGTCGTCGCTCTCGCTCGCTTGTTCTTCGCCTTGTCCCGCGCTCCCCTCCCCCCCCCCCCTATTCCCCGTGGGCTGTGGCTGTGGATGTGTATCACTGAAACCACAATATCTGTGATTGACACGCCGTCTAACCGCTGTTTCCAGCGCACCTCTGACGGCCGTCCGAAGGTGGTGGACCTGATCGACGCCACCGGTGCCGGAGATGTGGACACCACGCACGTGGCGGAGCTGCGCGACGGAGTGCTCAACGGCCTGTCGGGCAGACGGCTCAAGGTGGGTCCAACGGCGCAGAGCGGGCCGGCCAGCTGGGAACCGGGCTATAGATAGAACACGGTATGTGCATGATGATGTATCCGGATGCATGTGGTAGATGAATGGATGGATGTTACAGGCCATGTGCGAGTTGGTCCTATTTTGGTGGGATTTGTTGTGTGCGAACGACGCTGTATTTTTCCCAGCTAGGTTTGGCGCTTGTCATCTGGATAAACTATCAGCCGTAGCCCTTTATTCATGTCGGGAAACATGCGATTTGTCTTATCAGGCATTCGCCCAGTATCAGTTAACACAAATATTTGGAGTGGAGGCTCGGGTGGCCAAGAAACTGGGAACATTCCTGGCCTGGCCCAACGGAGTCGGCTGTGCTGTGGGCCGACCGACCGTTGGTCCGTGCTATCAGGACACAGTGCAGTGTTGGCCCCTCAGGACACGGTATTCCATACCAGGACACGATACCAGTATGGCCCCTCTTAGGACACGATGTTCTCTCTCAGGACACGATTTCGTGCCTGGCAGAGCTCTGAGGACACAGTAGACGAAACTGGACGGTTTCGTGTCAACTCCACCCATAGCCCAGTCCCTTCTCAGCACACAGTGCCGTCATGGCCCCCTCTCAGGACACGGTACCCCTTCTTACGACACAGTACTCCCTCCCAGTGTACAGCACTCCCTCTCAGGACACCATACCGCGCCACTCCCTCTCAGGACGCGGTGCCGTGCTGCCCGTCCCAGGACACGGTGCCTTCCTGTCCGTGTCCTCAGGACACCATGCCGTGCTGCCTGTCCCAGGACACGGTGCTGTCCCGGCTGTCCGTCCGGTGACGAGCAGTCGGCGCTGAGCGGCTCCGAACCGGTCCTGCCGCGCGCCGTTTGCCTGTCCGGCGTTTTCCTCGACGGGAAAGGGCACCGAACCGGCGGCCGCACATGGACGGTCGGTGGGGAGGGGGAGAGGGTGGCGAGGGGCTGGCCGCTACACGCGGTCTGCCAATGCGCCGAGGTGGGGATACGGGGTAATGAGACGCGTCGCCAAGCCTGGTTTTGTGTATGACGCCGTTTGTTTTCTAAGATGACCAAAACAGGCTTTGGATGTTTTGTATTGTACAGAAGGTAAACATGCGTCACGGTCGAAGGACTGAGCCGTTGTCAAGCCCGTACTTGTTTGTTTGCCCTGTGTTTTTGCGGTCGTAGCGAGGTCTCGTAGTCCGTGAGGCGTGGAAAGTCGCTCACTGGTCTTAACGAGTTTTGACACAGAGGAAAATAACATCTCGCTTATTAATGTGCCTAGTCATTGTAGCTGGCTGTCAGAGAAGCACTGAAATAACCAATGTATCACTCTTAGCAGGCAATCCGAATCCGCCGTAATCCTAAAATCGTCGTACAATTACCATTCAGCTATATCAGTCATTCAAGCCAAGTTCATTCCACCGAGTGCTGTCTCGGCGATAGCATTTATCGCGTGACAGATCGTTGAAAACCATTTTTATTGCTCACCATAAACAGTCGTGATTTTATTGCTTCTGATCACGCTCAAGACATCAGCTGCTGCATTTGTACATATTCCCACGTGATCAGTGAATTGGTGACAGGGCGAGTGTAAAGCACCTTACTTTAGATCTACCGGGGACGACTTTGCAACGGTGGGATACACGTATTAGTTTTATTTCATGTTGTGACCAATGACCATATGATTCCTCTCCCCTTCCCCAAGCATGTACCGTGTCTGACCCGTCATTACTCCAAAATGTAATATCTTGTTTTGTTCACCCCAGGTACCGGCGGGATGGGAGTGTCCCACGGGCAAGTTTCACCTGGGCGTGAAGCCTTTGTACGAGCTGTACCCGGAGAAGCTGCGAAAACGTGTACAGGCCGAGTACAAGGACAAGCACTGGGTCAAGTACCAGGCGGCCGCTCTGGCAGAGGCCCTCAGTCGACAGCAGGTGAGTGGGTTCACACCGCGCGGCTCGTGGTCAGGGTGTCTTAACGTGGGAGTGATTGGTTGGGTCAGGTACTTATGGAACGCATATTGATAGGTGGGTATTTCGTGAGGGAGTTGAATTCAGCAAGATGTGGGTCGGTTAGTATTTCCCGCTGTCGTGTTATCCTGACGCTGCACCGCCGCTGTTTTTGCTCGCAGTAGCAACGGCGAGGTGGTATCAGTGGAAGCGTGCGAATCGATAGGCGAGCGGTATCAGATATCTTATCGAAGAAAACCCCAAGCCCGCGGCTTACGGGCAATCACGCCTATTACCCAACTCTGTCCTGAAACCGACGCCACATCACTTTATCGCAGCGATGTGCCGATATTCCTTAACAAATTTCCCGTAATTTGTATAATATAATAATACAATACGCAGCTTTTCAGTCTGCCTGTATCCCGTCACTGGAAACAAACCGAGACCATCAATGAGATCGTGACTGCAGTTTGGCGCAACAATCAACTGCTGTCATATGTCCTACTGGTCCATGTATGCGCCTTAGGAATCTTAGCTGGCTGCTCTCACACTGTCTCCCTCCCTCTCTCTCTCTCTCTCTCTCTCTCTCTCTCTCTCTCTCTCTCTCTCTCTCTCTCTCTCTCTCTCTCTCTCTCTCTCTCTCTCTCTCTCTCTCTCTCTCTCCATTCCCTCTCTCTCTCTTTCTCTCTCTCTCTCTCTCTCTCTCTCTCTCTCTCTCTCTCTCTCTCTCTCTCTCTCTCTCTCTCTCTCTCTTCCTCTTTCTCTCTGCCCCCTCTTACCCTTTGGCCTTTCTCCTGCTCCGCGATCACAGGAGCACGAGCAGGCGCACCCGAACCCCACCGGTCTGGACAAACAGGACAGGGATGACCTGGACGCGCGTCTGGAGGCGCTCGCTGCTGCCGACAAGGCCTTCAAGGATGTCGGCCCCGTGCTCGACTGTGTGGTCTTCCATGATGGTAGCACCTGGAGGTGAGACGTTTGTGCCAGAAAGGTGGAGGGAGTTAGAATAAAGGTGTTATCAAGGCAGTGCTGATGAGAAGACGTCCTGCTGTAAGATTGCATTATCGATATGTAGCCCATCTTAATCTGTGCCAGTGTTATGATAATTCAGTTTTTTCCTTTGTTATGACCACCGATTTTGTGCATTCCGTCCTGTTAAGTTCTGTTATCAGTCTCCGTCTGTTCCGTCCGATGACGGTACGTCTATCCCTTCCCCCTTCCCAGAGTGTGTGTGGACACCTCCCTGGAGGGTAACCTAGGCCAGTGTCCTCTGACACCCCCCTCCTACCCTCAGAGTGTGCGTGGACACCTCCCTGCAGGGTAACCTAGGCCAGTGTCCTCTGACACCCCCCTCCTACCCTCAGAGTGTGCGTGGACACCTCCCTGCAGGGTAAACTGGACCAGTGTCCTCTGACACCCCCCTCCTACCCTCAGAGTGTGCGTGGACACCTCCCTGCAGGGTAAACTGGACCAGTGTCCTCTGACACCTCCCTCCTACCCTCAGAGTGTGTGTGGACACCTCCCTGGAGGGTAACCTAGGCCAGTGTCCTCTGCTGGGCAACTTCCGCGAGACGCTGCAACACGGCTACCTCAGTCGGCGCTGCATGATGGCGTTCGGTGTCAACGTCTACAGCGACGGCAACCTGCTATCCATCGTTACACCGTCTTGTGAGTCGCAGAGATGTGATGGTGTCTGTGGTGGCTGGGGGTTGTAGTAGCCATTGGGTGTATATAAGTTTGATTTAAGATGGTTTGAAAGGCGAGACAGACAAACAAGCGTTTGCTTAGATGTTTGGGTGCTGTTTTTGAACGTGACTGGCGTATAGTTGACACAGCTGTCACAGACCTGGCATTTGGCAAGCTGGCGTCTCATGACTCATGACATTTTAAGGGGGGATAAATTTTCAAAGCGGATTGTTATCTACACCATAAACTGGTAAACATACCATAAAGTTTGCGTCTGACCGCGCCCTACTGTCCGCCCACAGCCAGTCACGGTACCCACGTGTCTGCGATCGCCGCCGCCTGCTTCCCGGACGCCCCGGAGAAGAACGGCATGGCCCCCGGCGCCCAGATCGTCTCCATCAACATAGGTGGGTGTCGGCTGCAAGGGTGACGAGAGTATCTAGAAAGAAGAGTCTGGGGTGGTAGGTTTAAAGATATATGGATATTCAATGTTTTTTTTTTAGACACAGCAAATGAGTGGATCACAGGAGATTGCTGATAGTAGCTGGAGATGGGTGGATATTTATGAGATGATCGCTTATATTTTGAAGATGCAAGCAGCTAAGAGGAGATGCTGGGTGATTTTGTACAGTGTACACCCATCTTTTTCATTTTTGGTTTGCTTATGACTGTATACCAATGACGTCATTGTTTGTCCAGGTGACGGCCGGGTGGGCACCATGGAGACGGGTACGGCCATTGTGCGCGCCATGTCCCACCTGATGACGTGCTCCGCCCACTACACCGTGGACCTCATCAATATGAGCTACGGAGAACACTCGCGCTGGAGCGACTCCGGGTTAGTTACAGTGCGGGGGCTTTGTGGAATATGTCTGCGTGTGTCTGCATTATAGAAAAGTGGTAGGATTACGTGGGGGTGATTTTAATTTCAATCGGTTGTTCCTATGAGGCTGCCTTAATCACGGTTGATATCGCTTTTAGCATTGGGGCCTGAGTCTTGAGATGAACGCCAGGACTGTTTGTCTATTAGAGACGGTGAATCGTCCGTTATTGCCTATCCTGAACTGCGATTACACATTCCTTTAGATGTCTTATCACCGCCTGTGCCTGTACTAACGCCCCTCTCGCCGCTCTGCAGCCGTCTGGGTGAGCTGGCCAACGAGCTGGTCAACAAGCACGGCGTTATCTGGTGCGCGTCCGCCGGTAACGCCGGCCCGGCGCTCAACACCATCGGCGCGCCGCCCAACTTGCCGGCGGCCACCCCCGGAACCATACTAGGTACGTATGAGCTGGCCGGGAGAGGGGAGGACTGAGGAGGGAAAGGTTTACTTGGGGAAGGGGATTAATGATGGGAGATGATCTAGGGGTGGTGGCAAAGACGGTTCTTGAAATGGCTGTGTTGCATTGGCATTCTTATCCTTCGTGAACAATTACGTTGATCTATGCCGTAAACACGTAAATGGTGTCAGTGTCGTCGCCCACCGGCCCTCTCTGACCGCCCTCTATGCGCCGCCAGGGATCGGCGCGTATGTGACACCACCGATGATGGAGGCGTGCTACGGCATGCGCCAGTGTGTGCCCACCATGCCCTACACGTGGACATCGCGCGATCCGTCCGGATCGTCCGGTAAGAGTGGGATGTGGTGAGGACACTGAGGAAGAAGGGGCTATAGTTTGGGACTGTTAACTGTCCGATGTTATTCCTTTGAGTTTGGATCGTCTCTTGAAAATAGCTTCCTGAATCTCAGCTGCTCTTAATCTCTAGTCGTTATCCGTGCCTTTGCCATTCTTCCTGACACGAAATTCTTCCACCGTCACCGCAGCTGGTTGGCACAGCATCAAATCCACTGACCTTTTTTGTTTATTTATGCCCTCTTAAGTCTTAAACAGTCTTCACATAACCGTGCGCTCTGACTGACGCCTTCCATCCCCTCAGGCGGCCGGTACATCACGGTGTGCGCTCCTGGCTGCGCCATCACCAGTGTGTGCTCTAATCCCCTCTATCTGTTCTGTCTCAGGGGGTCGGTACATCACGGTCTGCGCTCCTGGCTGCGCCATTACCAGTGTGCCCAACTACACACTGCAGGGCTGTGAGCAGATGAACGGGACCAGCATGGCGGCTCCCAACGCCACCGGATCCATCGGTGAGCGAAAATGATACCGGAAGAGGTTCGAAAGGGAGATGATAGGAGGCTGTTCACTAAAGGAGAGGGCTGATAGGATGATAGGAGGCTGCTCAGAAGGGAGAGGGAAATAACTTGGGATTGGAGGGATTGGGGGACTGACATAATGGAAAAGTGCAGCGCATAAGTCCAGTGGGTGATTCATCATGGGAAATCGTTGATGCCTGATAAGTTTTCCGCTAATCTTGCAAACATGCTCGAGCATTTTGATGATAAAGCTCATTCACATCAGGCTCGTTACCCCGGTGCCTTTACCCACACTGAAGGAGCTATAATCTCACCGTTTGCACTCCCCTTTGTTTCCAGCGACGCTGCTCTCGTGTCTGAAGGGCCTGGGCATGGAGTACTCTGTGTACAGCGTGCGGCGGGCCATCATGGCCACGGCTGAGACCATGAACACGCCCGGAGCCGACCCGTTCGCAGTCGGCAGCGGCATGCTACGGGTGAGGGAATGATGTGGGCGCTGCAAACTCGTCAACGGGTGGGTCACTGCTGTGTCGATGGTTGGTGGCGTTTTTGTACTTGCTGCAATTTGGGCCCTAAGCATTGGTTGCTTTGGATTACGAATCACATACTTGCGCGCAGTGTCGAATCTTTGCTGAAGCGACGGCTGAAGATTGATTGGTTTCTATTTGGAGTCGCTGAAACTCGTTTTTGTGCCTTGCGCTTAAATTCACCGTGAAGGATGCTGTACAAACGCTGATAAATGACAACGATGGTCTTTAAAGTCAGTTGTAGGTATGGTGTGTTGTGTTTTGATGAGTCGTGTGTACCGTGATCCGCTTAAGCAATCCTCTTCTTTATCCTTACAATCCTCGGCTTTTCGGTCAGGTGGACAAGGCGCTGGAGCATCTGAAGCAGCACCACTGCAGCGTAGACAAGGACGTCACATTCATAGCCACAGTCGGTAAGTCGCGGCTCATTACATAGGTTTTAATGGGTACGTGTTACTCCTGCCTCGATTCGGAAGGCAGTAACTAGGTTCGTCTTCGGAATAATAAGTATCCTTTTGTTTTGAGGATGGTCCGGATAGATCATGTTTTACAAGCATTTGATTGACAAAGCCAAATAAATCTCACTTATAAAGTGATCTAAATATGGACGCACAAATCTTTCTAATGCTGTTCCTTGTTGTGACCTGGCCTCCTCTCCCTCAACGCCCTTTCAGCTCCAAACGAGGCTCACGGCATCTATTTGCGGGACGGTGTGGACCTGCGTAGTCGCGTTATTGAGCGCGCCGTCTCCGTGAAGACGCAGTTCGTGAACCAGGACGCCGCTGGTGAGTGTCTGTCTCGTCTCCTACCTCCCTCCCCTCACGGGGATGGGGGGGGGGGGGTGCTCAGTGTAATGACCGAAATGAGGCCTAGGGGTAGCGGAACTGGGAGATAGAGTGGCGTGACGATAACGAGACTGTTTTTTATGCTTTTCCGGCCGTGGACAGATTGTTTATGATTCCGATTGATGGATCACGTGAAGAAGATAAAGGGAGTTTTTCAAGACGATGTTTCCTTTCAAACTCGAAGTGTGCTACATATGCTATTGTCATGAATATCAGTTTTCGTCCGTGTCGTGCTTATTATTTGACTAAGACAAGGGATAGTATTATTCACGAATGAGCACGAGAACACTGCCTAACTCTAATTTTAATGTCCGAGGTTTACTGCAGCCTTTACGGAAACATGACCTTTCTCTACACCAGCTAAAGCTGGCACTATGCCGACACTAAACACTAGACACTCATTTATTTTCACCTCCCTTCCCCATGTTGTCAGACCCGGTGAAGCAGATCAACTTCTCTCTGCGCTGCGTGCTTACTTGCGAGGCCAGCTGGGTGCAGGTGGCCAAATACGTGCAGCACATGAACTCGACACGCAACTTTGCCGTCAAGGTGGACGCGCGCAGTCTGCCCGAGGGCGTGCACGCTACCAGGTGGGTCCGATGGCGGCGATAGGGGGGTACTTGGGTGGGGTGGGGTGGGGATGAAAGTCACGGGGCAGCGTGACTGCGGAACGTGAAATTCGATGGAATGTAGTGAGAGACGATGCCGGGAGAGTGTGAGGTTTTAGGTTGGTATGAGGAAGCGCTCGGGTTGCTGCGTACTGAAACGGTAGGCAGAAGAAGCTTTCACTTAATTGTTGAGAGCAATGTTAGTTGAGGTTGACAATTATGCTCTGTGGCTGCGCCATGGGTGTGGTGCACTGAGCCGTAAATATGGGACCCGTATAACAGAGCTCGTTTTTTTTTTGTGTCGGCGAACTGTGTGTACTGTTATGTTTGATAATGTCCATGGTGCACCATTCTCAGATTGTGTCCTTGTTCCGTGTTTTTTCATTGGAATGTTTTTAGCATCTTATCGGTATTATCAAGTTAATCTGTCATAAAAGTGTATGTATCTGACTCGCTTCTGTCTGTCTCTTGGTTATGTCGTGGTAAAAGTGGCATAGCTTAAAGATAGAAGTTGTCGATGAAAAGAAAAGCTGGGAGTGTCAAAAGCTGGGAAAAGCCGCTTGTTGAACTGCTGCCCGAAAGGTTCACGCAACGGGAGTTATATGCTGTTAAAAAGAAATTATTTGCTGCAGACAATCGTTGTGTAACTTTCGGAGGGTGCGGGAACTTCAAGCAAATCTTGAATTGTATCGAATTTACTCGCAATCTTGGTGTGGTAAAGTCCCTTCCTAGACTTTTTCATTAGTCTTGCCGCACCATTGGCTTTAATTATAAACGTCTTTTACCGTTCCTTTGACCTCTGCTCGTCTGCTTTACCCAACCGTCAATCATCCCGTCCGTCCGTCTGTCAAACCTGTCCGACTAATGTTTTTCCGTCGTCTGTCCGACTGTCGACTTTCCGTCCGTCTGACCTCCAACATGCCGCACCACTCCGTCGATATCCGCACATCCATCTAACATCCACCGTTCTTCTCGTCAGTATCCGGGCGTTCGATGCCGACCAGCCGGAGCGCGGCGCCCTGTTCGAGGTGCCGGTGACGGTGGTGGTACCCATCCAGCTGGACGCTGCTGACCCGCAGCTGGAGAGGACGCTCTCTCTGCAGCCCGGGCAGCTGCAGAGGCTGTTCATCCAGGTGCCCGACGCGGCCAGCTCGGCAGGTGAGAGAGGGTAGGAGAGGGGGAGGGAAGCAGGAAGGGAGGGAGTTGAGGTCGGCCAGATGTGGTTGAAACCTTTTTTGTAGAAGGGAAAGACCGGAAAATTATTTGTCAAATAGGATGGATCGGTGCTGGTGAAAACAAAGAATCTTCAATTGCATCTCAGTTTGCTGCTGGCACAATGCTACCTACTAGCAGCTACTAAATGGCTCAGGAGCTCAGCGCAGAGCTGAGCTATGGCTCAGCAGCTGTTATGTTTTATTTTATGTCGTTTCTTTCTCTGTTTGTAGTGCATACTATGCCATCCAATTGTGACACATTCTCTCTGTTCGTTACAGCTGTGACGCTTAAGTCGCTGGAGCAGGAGAAGGACCACCGGTTCGTGATCCACGCGCTGCAGGCCGTCCCCCACATGTCCAGCAAGAGCTGCGAGTTCTACAAGATGGCCGGACTCGCGCCCGGCACATCCTACAGCGAGACATTCAAAATCGAGGTGCGTGCGAGCGCGGCGTGTGTCATGTTTCGCGTCTTAGTGGATGACGTGACGCGATTGATGTGGTCATCTGGAGTGATTCTTAATAACTTCAGATGCAAATCTAGTGTGTTCTTGTTGTCTGTTGACTAGGTACAAACGGTGCTGGCTTGACCGTTTGTCAAGCCAGCATTTTTGGCCGCTGGCTGTCTGGTAGCTGCTTTTATGGCCGCTGGCTGTAAAAGCAGCAGGCACTAACCAACTAATCACCGTTCTTCACAATATAGTTACTTTCTTTGAAATGATTCGTATAACCGTGCCCAACTTGTCAACTCGCCTCTCACTCACCTCTTATCCTTTAACTCACCCTGGCTTCTCCCACGCCTGCAGGGCGGCCACATTCTGGAGGTGGTGGTCTGCAAGTACTGGACCAGTCTGGGCTCTGCGGACGTCAGTGTGACCGTCAGTCTGGACGGCCTGCGCCCGTCGGCGCCCACCCTGGCCATGACGGCCGCCGAGGTGCTGCGACTGGACGTGTCGGACGCGCTGCGGGCCACAGAGATGGCGGCCCCCAGCGTCATACTGAAGGGGCAACTGTGCACGTACAGGTACGGCTGTCAGAGGGAGGGGGTTAGGGGATAGTCATCATGATGGTGGGGAAGCGGGGGATATAAGTGGTTTGCAGTTGAAGCAGAGCTTGCATTTCAGTCTTGAGATCTAACCAGGCTGCTCTGCAATACAGTCCATTTCATTCTTGTAGATACTGTTTTAAAACTGTACCCGCGTGAATATTTTCTGCAGAATATTCAGAGCCATTAATTCATTGTATTCGTGCTAACGTGGTTTTAATTCCTGCTCTCGCTCTAAATGCTTTGTTCCTTGCACCTCGGTAGCTCCCCGTCTCATACTCACACCCTCGCTGCCCCGCCGCCCCGTCAGGCCGTCGTCGGCCAAGGTGGCTCCGCTGGTGGACGACCGGGACAAGCTGCCCGACGGACGCGTCATCTACGGACTGACGCTCACCTACGGATTCAACGTGGCCAAAGGCGGAGAGGTCACACCCGACTTGTGAGTACGGGAACGGGACGCAGTCGCTGCGATCTACCGGACGAGACGCCGGGATGGACGTGTTGGCGAGAGATTGTTGGGCAGAGACTGAGCCTGCCTTAGGTATTAGGGCATTAGGGGCTTCTCTGACCTGTAGGGGCTTCTCTGACCTGTAGGGGCTTCTCTGACCTGCCGATGATTATGAACAGCATGCTGTCGCAATGAGCATGGAAAGTGTGTCGTCCTTCCTGAAGTACACGCTGCGCAAGTGTTTACTCGACATGTCTGTCCGCGTTTACAGCCAGTTCCTGAGTGACACCCTGTACGAGTCCGAGTTCGAGTCGCAGATGTGGATGCTGTTTGACTCTAACAAGCAGTTCATCGCGGCAGGAGACGCCTATCCGTCCAAGGTCAGTCACTGGCTATCTGTGTTCTCTGGTTGAGGTTCGAACACTGCAAACTAGATATATAATTGATACACCGAAAATCGAAAGAGGATCTTATTGCAAGGCGTTTAAAAAGAAACTACAAGCTTTTGTCCCGCTAAAACAGTTGCTAACATTGTCGCTTGTCTGTCTCCAGTTGTCTGTGTCAGCAGAGGACTAAGTGTAGGATAATCCGTTACAATGTTTCCCAAAACCGGAGTATTACTTAGGTACCGCCATTTAATTGTCTCCATCCCCAGTACTCTGTCCGGGTAGATAAGGGGGAGTACACTCTGCTGATGCGGATCCGCCACGAGAAGAGAGAGCTGTTGGAGAAGCTGAGCGACCTCTCGCTTCAGATCACCTTCAAACTCTCCAGCGAACTCAAGGTCAGTTTGTCAATGGGACTGAAACTCCTCAGTGTACGACCGCGGCACTAGTCGCCGTCTTTCAGTTAGGTTTGGATATTGAACTGTGACATGAACACTGTTGATGGTATAATCTTGTGTCTTAGATACATTTTCATTTTTTTTTTCGCTTACGACAGTCTTTCCGCATTTTACTCTTGGTACTTGTGTTTTGTCACTTTGTCCAAACCCATCATCGCCTCCAAAACCCTTTCACATCCAACTCACCGAAAGTTGTGCCATGTCTAACGCTCTACTCCCGGTGTCCTCAGCTGGACACGTACTACCGGTACAACGACGCTCTGACGGGCACCCGGCGGGCGGGCACGGCCCAGATGCGGCCCGGTCTCCGGCTGCCGCTCTACGTGGCGCCCCTGCCGCTCAGCAACAACAACCGGTGAGCAATGGAGGATTTTGGCTACAAAGTACAACGACGATCTAAGGAGGGACGATTGGCTACATAATTAGTCGATGAGAGGCTGGCCGGGTAGAGAACCGCAAGACCTTTGGTTGCATAGTCCGCATCGACCGTTATAATTAATATGGTGTTTCTACGGGTCATATCGAAATTTCCGAGCTGGGTTTGTACGGGCCTTATCTGCTTTTTCGGGACATAAGTTATAGAGTCGGTGTTTCTACAGGCCGTATCTCGCCGTGTGGTCACGCACTGCACCTGACCGTGTGTCTGTGTTCTGACGACCCTTCCGTGCCGCCGCAGGACGTCGAAGCTGTCGCTGTCGGCCGGCCACGTCCTGGTGGGCAACCTGACGCTGCAGCCGACCCGCGCCGCCAACGACAAGGCGGTACGAGCTCGGACGGCGCCGCGCCGCGTCAAGCGGCCCCTTCCGCAACTGGTGTGCCACCCTTACCCCTCTGTCTCTATCTCTCTCTCTGTCTCTGTCGCTCTCTCACCGGGCGCGGCGGTGGACCGGAGCACGGGCAGCGGCTCGGCGGAGTGACATACCTCGGCTGGCTGGTGGCGGCTGCTGGCTCAGAGTCACGGAAATAAGTGCGCCAGAAGGAAGGCGACTGCCTCCGATTCCCGAGGACTGGTGGCCCTGATGGAGACAAACGACAGAGCTCTGGCTAGCCATGCTCCTGAAGAATAACGCTTAAAACCATACCTGCCTGCATTACCGCAAACCTTCGGTTCTTGTAAATTAGCTCTGGATAATCGGGCTGAACATATCGCTTGGTCATGGGCAAAGGGCTTGGTGGGAACTATGCCTTTTACAATTAGTTTTGTGGGTACCTGTTCCTGTTCCCAACTGTCACCCACTAGCCGTTAGCAGCTCAAAATTTTGTTCTGGTTGTCAAGTAAAACCGAAGGAGACTGCATGCCCCACTGCATGGTGGATGTGACCTGTTTTTTTTTTATTCTGAAGGTTTTCTCCATGGTTCACTCGATAATGCCGCTGCCTAATAATGTAAATGTTATTTAAAAAAATTGGTGGCTGAATGCTGCATATTTATGAAGAATAGCTGGGGGAGTTTTAGTTGATATCATCATTACATGCTCCGCGTTCATTATTGCAATTTGGTTGTGGCACTTCTTTATAGCATTCCGGGCATCAGTTAGTTGTCCTTTGTGGCCTCCTTTTAGCCTCTCTGCATGCACATGGCACACCTTTTACACGCGGATCATTCTGAGTTCTGAGTGCACACATTGATAGTTGCCCGCGATGACAGTTGTTGATATATAAGTCACTTTACCGACTTTTGGAAGTGTGCTTACATCACTTATCGCAGCTTCGCTGGTGGCGCTGCTTCATCACTGCGTAATGCTACAAAGCTGCAGCTTTAGCTTCATTTCTTCCTGATTAATTTTATCAACGAAAAATGAGTGGTAGACGCATACATCGAAGCAGATTTCATGGCATAGAATAAATAATTGTAGGGCATCACATAACGTCTGCTGAACGTATCGTTGCTATCATTTATGATGTTTTGATTTTATTTCATATATTTCTGCACAATCCACCAGTGTATTTGATATACGGTCTGTAGAATATTTTGTTGACGAGCACCCGCACAAAGTGTCAGTCTGTACATGCCCGTTCGCCCACACACCGCTACCCCCCCCCCCCCCTCGTCCGTCTGTCCCCGCAGGGTCAGTTTCCATTCCGCTACATGATTCCGGACGTGCCGCGCAAGAGCGGCGCCTCGAAGCCCGACAAGGAGAAGACCTCCAAGCAGGACGAGTACCAGAACGCCCTCAAGGACTTCAAGATCATGTGGATCGGCCGGCTCGGAGCCGGTGAGGCAATGACACTCCTTCAGCACGATCAGCCAGACTATTCTTGACCTTGGGATAATTCTGACGTTTATTGCCGTTTTCTAACTTGATTGAATGAAAATCGATGTTGCATGGTTCGAAGGAACACATTTGGGGAACCTGGAGACTTTCATCAGCCAGGCCCCGCCCCCTTTCGAAAGCATCAGCAATGTGTCCCTAGCTAAGTGTGGGAACCCGTGCGACTCCTACCGCTTACTTCTGGCATCAGTCCCACGCTCGACATGTCACACGTGTAACACGCCTCCCCCTGACCATTGTCAGGCGGCGGCGACACGGCGACAGCCCTGCTGGAGGAGGTGCTGGCTAATGGAGAGCGGCTGGACCGGATCCTGGCCAACAGCGCCAAACTGCAGACGCTAGATACCATGCAGGTAAGGACGAGGGCGGTTGTGAGAGAGAGAGAGAGAGAGAGAGAGAGAGAGAGAGAGAGAGAGAGAGAGAGAGAGACCATTTATTCAATAACAAACAGATGAATATAACAAATAAAGTATGCAATTGGCGCAAAAGTGCTACGCACTTAAATCATGGCGCCGCTTGCTAAACGAGAAGTACTTAACGTATTTAGCAACAATAATAATGATGAAACACAATGGAACAAGAAGAACGGAATAAAAATATTTATGTTGCAAAACATGTCAAAGTGATCGTCGATCGACCGGACCGCCCAAGCCCGGTAACGCTCCACGACCCCGGCGGCACTGTAAGGCTGCCCCGCACCGCGCCCACTCGTCCGACCACGGTAGTGGTGAGGATTGGGACTTGGGATGTTGTATTTTATAAGCGATGGGTAAGGATGATGAAGGATTGGACAGCGGTGGCAACCACACGGCCCTCCTCACGACTCAGGTCTGTACCGTGGATAAGGATGTCGAGTTGTTTGGAGGAAGGGAGAGTGGAAAAGTCAGTGCGGATGACGGGCGACACGGTGTTGTAAAGAATGTTTCGCTGAGTATGATAAAGTGGACAGGAAAGTAGGAAATGTTTTGTGTTTTCAGAATTATAGCCGCAAGTGCAAGAGGGTGAATTAGCTTGTTGTATGGAGAAAAGATGAGCATTAAGTTTTGAAGTATTCAGTCGTAGTTTTGTGTGTAAAATGTTGCCTGTTTTTGTGCCTAGGAAATAATACAGAGGTGGACGGGGTTGTGTAATCAGTTCTTTTAGGTGTTTTTTAAAGGTAAAGTAGTTATTGTTTGTGCGTAGATGTTCGGGCAATGTGTTCCAGAGGCTTGTAGAGGATGGGACGAAGGATCGGTGATAGGATGTGGTTCTGGCCAATGGTATTGTTTGAGCTGAAATATTTCGTAAAGTTCGTGTTGTGTTTTGCTGTCTTGTGTTAGGAATAATGGTCTTAATAAATTCGGGAACTATAGGATTGAATATTAATTTGTGATAAAACTGAAGTTTGTGGATTTTCCGTCTGTCGGTCAAAGAAGTCCATCCTAGTTCTCGTCGCAGTCCGTTAGTCGATGTCCGAAGTCCAGTCCCAGTGATCAGTCGTGCTGCTCTGTTTTGTGCTTTTTCTAGTCGCATGCCGTCAGTCGTTGTGATGTGTCCGTCGTAAGTGATGTCACAATAGTCGAGGAAAGGTTGAACGTAAGTAATATAGAGAGATAGAAGCATTCCTTTAGGTATGTGTTTTGCTATTGGGTATAAAGGGCCCATAGAACGATTAAATTTTAGAAGGACGTCATTAATGTGTGTGTGAAAGCGTAGATCTGTGGATAGTGTGAGGCCGAGATGTTTATGGTCATTTACTATTGGAATGGGGTTACCGCCGAAAGTAAGGGTTGGTCGATTAGTTTGTTGTCGATGTGAGAAAGTTTGTTGTGTGGTTTTCGTTGCATTGAATGTTATAGCCCATGTTTGTCCGTAGTTGTGTATGATGTCTAGGTCTTTCTGTAGTGTCGTTTGTGCGTCGTGACGGTTGTCAGTTGGAGAGTAAGACGAGTATAAAGAGCAGTCATCGGCATAAAAAAGCATTTTGTTTGTGGTTTTGTCACACAGTCCGTTTAAATATAAAATCGCCAGAAGTGGCCCTAAAACCGATCCTTGCGGTACCCCAGCGTCAAGTGTCAGTGTCTGTGATGTAATATTATTAATGTCAACTGTCTGCTGTCGGTCCGTCAGATAAGATTCAAGCCACGTCAGTAAGTTGTCCGTTATTCCAAACTCCTTTTTACACTTAATAAGAAGACCCTTGTGCCAAATCTTTTCAAAATATCGAGAAATGTCTAAGTATATTGTGGTGAAGTCGCGTCCGTTGTCGAGAGATTTGTACAGTAAGTCTGTCATGTATGTAAGTTGCAGTTGAGTGTTGTGTCCTGGTCGGTATCCACTTTGTCTGTCGGTTAGAAGCGAAAATTCAGTAATGTGTTGATATATATGAGCGAATATAATTTTTTCAAAAACTTTTGATATGCACGGAAGTAAACTGATTGGGCGATAATTATTTAATTCAGACGGAGTTCCCTTTCGCTTAAATATTGGTCGAACTTTAGCCTTTTTCCAAGATGTGGGGTATATTCCGGTGGTGAGAGATTTGTTAAAAAGTTGTGTCAAAGGTTCGTAAATCAGTAATGCTGTCATTTTTAAAATTTTCGTAGGCAATCTGTCTGAACCACAAGCTTTATTAGCGTCTAAGCTGTTCAGGGTTCGAAGGACTTCACCAGGGGTGATGTCAATGCTGCTGAGAGTGGGTACTGGTTCAGTGTTTCTTGCTGTGTATGTTTGAAGTTGTGCAATGTGTGCGTTTGTGATGTCAAGTTGTGTTTGTGAGGCAAAGTATGTATTCAGCATGGTGGCTTTGTCAGTGTCAGTTGTCGCTGTTGTGCCATCGTGTTGTATGAGTGTCGGTATGGAATGGTTTTGTTTATGACCTGTTATGTCTCTTAAAATTTTATGATATTTATGAGGGTCGTGTTTGTTCTGAAGTAGAAGTGATACTTTATTTTTTACATGTTCGTCGTAAAGTTGTCTATTCAAATTTGTCACGAAGTTGCGTTGGGTTTTCCATTTTGCCCACGCTTGTTTATCGGTTTTTCGTTTTCGGGCAGCATTAAATAAACGTTCACGTTTCCTAATTTCCTTCAGAAGTTCTGGTGTCACCCAAGGTTTGTCATGTCTTCGTTTGCTTTGTTTTATCGGTATGCACTCTTTGGCTGCGTCAATTATACGGTTAGTAAAATCAGTCGCTGCATCAGTGTCCTTGTTAAGAATTGTTGTCCAGTCTGTTTGTTGTAAAATGTGTGTTAATTTATCGGCGTCTGTATTTGCATAGTCCCAGTACTCGGTTACATATTTGTCATCATTCCTTTCTCCCTGGATTGATAGCGTCACAAATACTGGAAAGTGGTCAAGTGTTGAAAATGAAGAGAGAAGTCCGCTATCAATGATAAATTTAGTATTGGATGTAAAAAAGAGGTCTCGTAGGTTGTATGTGTCATTTTCAATACGCGTAGGTTGGTCGATGAGTTGCGTTAGTCCAATGGTGTCAGTTGCGTCTCTTAATTTTCGGTCGAAAGCTGTCAGTCCACTATGTTGATAGGTATCTGGAGGGAGGAATAGGTTGCCAACATTTAAGTCGCCTGTCAATAATACATTTGGGGAGTAGAGATGTGCACGAGTCACACTGTCGGTCAGTCTGTCTATAAACTCTTCTTGTCGATGTGCTGGAATATTGGGTGGGAGATAGATTGAGCACAGTAAAAATGTAGAGTCTTTTGTTTTTATTTTTATCCAAATCCATTCTTCACCAGGCAATTCGAGTGAGGAAATTCTGGAAAATGTAAGTGAGCTGTGAATGTATACTGCCGTGCCTCCTCCGTGTCTGTCTCTGTGTCTTGTAATGGGTGGATGAAAATTGTCAATAGTATAAAGGTTCGGGTTAATTGAGTCGTCCAATTTAGTTTCAGTGAGTGCGAGAATTGTGATTTTATTAACGTCGACAAAATTTGTTAGCTCTTGGACCTTGCCAGTGGCCGTTATACTGTTTATATTTACATGGGCTATCGTAATATTATTCGATAATTTCTTGTTATTTATTGGCCCAGGGTTCGATTCAATTCCTCCGATAATCAAAAGAATACGCATGTCTGGAGGATAATTAAATAGTTTCGATGATGCATGATTTGACACAGAATCGGGAGAGAATTGGGTAAGGTTGAAGCGGGTTTTGGGAAGCGTTGGGGGAAAGGAGAGGAGGGGAGAGGCGGCCTGAGCGTGTGCTAGAGGGCGGCGGGGCGTCCACCGCGGTCCGGACGAAAGAGAGGAGGAGCAAACGTGCAGAGATACACTATGCAATTGGGTCAGGGGATCAATGAAGCTGACGGAGAACAAAGTAGTGTAACAACGTTTCAGAGAAAGAAAGGAAAAATAGGACCGGGATGAGGGATGTTCCGCAGTCGGACGGTGGCCCGGCGCAGGGACAAAAGTCACAGGTGGGGCGGGCCGAGCGCCCGGGTCGTTGGGCGGGCGGCCAATCGCGAAGCTCGCAAGTAGTTGGAATAGATATATGATAAACTAGTATGCAGATACAGCCAAATCATAAATAAATATACGGGGAACAAAAATACAGCGGTCGAGGACTTAACGCACTCGTTATCAATCACGGACATCAAAATCATCAAACGGACACACTCGTTATCAATCAATGACTAAACCAATCAATGACTAAACCAATCCATCGACCTGTCATCGAAACCAGACACCTCGACACAAAATAAGAGGGAAAACACACTCTTCAACCTACCATCTGAGTTAACTGAAATTAACTGGGTCAAACTGACCGAAAAACAGACACGAAGCGAGTTACTTGCCGCAGCACTCGGAATAACTTACTAACTACATATCATCCGGGTAAGTATATAGAAGCGCCCTGAGCGGGCGACCTGCCGCTCAGTGAAAGCAGTGGACATCAACAGTCAAGTCCAAGTACCGTGGCACTACACAACATTCATTGTTTACTTTTTCTTTACTTTGTCCGCTCGGGTTTTGCGGGTTTTACCGACCCGCTTCCCGTGCTTACCTCCAGCGGCGGCAGTCTCACCGTCGTCCGTTACCGGCTGGGACGGCTCAGCGGCATCGCTCAGCGAAGTCGACGGCGTCCGCATGGACTCCGGGGCAGGCGAAGCAGGTGACGCCTCCAGCTCGGGCGACTCGGTCGACGTCTCCTCACTCGATTCGACCGCGTCAGTCGCGGCTCCTGGCTCACCTACCGTCGCCGGTGCAGCCTCAGCAGACACCTCAGACACTGATGGTTGCGCGCTCGTCTCGATCATTTCACTCGCGGCCGGGGCAGCCGCGGCTCCAGCCCCGGCTACTGGCACGTCCGGCTGGACGGCTGCAGCCACGGGCGAGCGAGCGGCCGCGCTCACCGGCACCGGCGCGGGGCTGACTGACCCGGTCACGGCCGCGTCACCCTCCGCCGGCCGGCGCGCAGCGGCGGGTTCAGGCACCCGTGCGATGGGGGCACGCCCCGCTCCCGGTGCAGGTGCGGCGGCGACTCCGGTCTGTTGAAGAGCGCTCCGGATGTCTGGGTCGTCTCCGACGACATCTCGGAGGCCGGTGAGTGAGTTGATCTTCGTCGTCGGTCCACCTTCCCTCGTGCGTACCTTTATCACACAGTTGTTTGTCCAAGCCGAGTGCAGCTTGCCTTTTCTGCGCAGCTGACGAGCTACGAAGAGGATGAGCTGGTTCCTCTTCGTCAGGTTCTCGGCGATGTATGTGTTCGCCAGGACTTGCTGCGTCAGGATCGGGTGCTGCTGCACTCTCCCGGCCCTCAGGTTCGTCCTGGCCTCCAGCAGCTCCTGGCGCTTGTTGAACGCCACAAACTTGGCGATTATCTGTCTCGGTCTGTCTCGTCTCGGCGGACCGACCCTGTGCGAGCGGTCCAGATCCGCCACTGTCACGGTGACCCCGGCGGCCTTGGCTAGGTCAATCACCAGGGCGTCGGTGCTCTCCCGCGCAGACTCGGGCAGACCGGTGATCATGAGCGAATTCCGCCGGGAATACTGCTCGAGGCTGTCGACGTCGTTCTGCGCGGCAGACAGCTGGGCTCGGAGCTGCTCGATCTCCCGGTCACGAGTCTGGAGGGCCTCCGCCACACACTGGCTGATGATCGGCGCCAGCAGCTTCTCGCGGAGACGAGCAATAAAGCCATCATCTTCAAAGCACTGGGCGACAGAGTTTTTAATATCGTCCTGATGCATAGCTATAAGCGAGCTATGCGACTGACCACCCGCCACCAATCACTCGCTATCCACGGCTGGCAGCTCTCGCCAGACCACTATCACCGCGCGGAGCACAGCACTGAGCGGTCGGGGTCGTGACCTCGCGCGGGGCCGCGGCAGCGCTCCGACCCGGGCGGCGGTCAGTCGCAGACTGACCGCCGGAGTGAGGGATGGTGAGGGATGGTCGGGGGTTGGGACGTCTGAGATGCGGTGTGGGGAGGATGGTGTCTGGTACGCGTTTGAGTTTGTTCGGTGTCCGATTGACTTCGGGCTATCGTGGTGGCTATGTTGCTCCATTTATTCAGTCATCCACGAACCGTTATATTTTTCATATCGCTATTGTACAAACACTTACCCTGATACCATAATGCTTCCCACGGATATCAACATCAAAAGCTCTTGATGCGTCTAGAATCTTGAGCTTGCTTCTGACAGGCCTCCGTGTACTCTTGATGTCATCCTCCCCCTGGGCCTGTGCTACTGCTCCACTTTGACGACCCCTCCCCTCCCTCAGGAGAAGGACGCGGCTGAGATCGTCCGCCGCGCGGACGCCGTCATCCAGGACGTGGACCGGGCCCGTCTGCTCACCTACTACGGACGAAAGAACGCCAGCACCGAGGATCAGTCCGTCAAAAAGTACGACGGCGGGCCGCGGGTGGATGACGCGGGTTGGGGCTGAGGGGTGCAGTTTGATTGGAAAAGTAAACAATTATATCAGCATAGTAGCTGACGGTCGAAATATACAATAAGATAAATGAGCTAATGCGACATTTTATGCTCGTAAATGGCTTACTTTTGTGTTTGTTCAATCAATAATTTTGCGGTGTATCCTTCAGCCCTTTCCTATCGGCATTCACATACAAGGCCGTCTCGTCTTGGCCTTGAACCATGTTCATACGTTTGAACAGCATTGTCGGCTTCTTACATCCGTAGGGCGTAGGACGTACCCCACACTTTCTTATCCCTCGTCCGCACCGTCACCGATGACCACCCTAGCCCGGCACCCCCTGAACCCCAACTCACCACTCTGCCCTTCGCAGTGACATGGAGCGGGAGCGGTCGGCTCTGCTGGACGCCATCTCCCGCAAGGGTGTCGTGCTGTGCGAGTGCGCTGAGCGCAAACAGCCGGCTGACGTCTTCTCCATGGCCACCCTGGCCAACATCCAGGATCTGATGAACTCGGCACTCGAGTTCGCCGAGCCGACAGATGCCAAGGTGAAGATGGGGACTGAGGGGAGAGGGAGAGAGGGCGTAGAGAGAGTGAGAGGGGGCTAGACAGGTGGGTGGGAATAAAGATGTTTGGTAAAGAGACCTACTCCATGTCTGTGGAATTACGAGGCGAGGGATATGATGAAAGCGTTGTCATTAAATTATGGATTAATTATGGATTAAATTATGGATTATGGATTAAATTATGGATTAAGTTATGGATTATGGATGCGTCTGAGAATGACAAGGACGTGGTTGTTGGTTGGTAAGTGCCGTTCTATAAATGCGACCTGTATTTCGAAGCGCTGCCCTCGCTGACCCTCTGCCCCTTCCGCCGCAGCTGCTGCCGTTCTCGGTCCGTCACGCGGTGGCGCACGGCCGGTTCGGTCTGGCACTGCGCTACCAGCAGAAGATCGCTGACGACAGGCCGTCGGTCGATAACGAACAGAAGGTCTGCGAGCTGTACAACAAGCTCGGCTGGAGCTTCCTGTCGGACCACCTGGCACGCAGTCGCACGGTGCGCTTCCCCGCCCAGTACCGGCCCATGTAGACTAGCGGAGCCGCCGTCCGGGGTAGCCAGGTTGGGTGGCCGCTGAGGACCTCTGGTGTCACTCTGGCGGCCCAGAGGCGTCGGGCAGACTAGCGTTGTGGTCTGCAGGTCCGTCGTCCTTCGAGTCCAGAGAGGCGACTTGGCGGTACAATCCCGTGTCGAGCGGCATTGCCGAGTGCCGGGCTCACCCTCACTGGTCGCCAGGTTCCGTCGGGATGGACGGTGGCTGGTGGCCTGATTGGCCCGTGCCGCCGGCGAAAGTCCAGTCCGCTGGACAGGGCGACGCGCAGACATTGGTTGTAACCGGAGAGGGTTCGTCCGTTCAGATCTGGTTCACACTGTGCTCGGACTGAGGCGATACCGAACGGAACTGGAGGGAGCACGACAGGAGGTGGCAGGGCGGCCGGCGCGGGCCGAACTTTCGAGTATTTTATTCTGGAGGGATGGTCCTACCATGCCGGCGCGTCTGTGTGTGGGTGTGAATGTGGTGTGGTGGTCGCGAGGTGCCGGGGTTTGTCGATGTTTTAAGCATGGGACGATCTGTTCGAGCGATTGTGTTCGTTTAAGATACTTACGACAGTGGTTTTTTAGCTGTTGATGCGGTCGGCAGTGGAAGTCGAGTGGTGTTGTACGCGAATTTCGCGCGCTGGGCGGTGCCGCCCGCTATAGGAAATATTATCTGCTTCTTTCTGGGCGCTCTACGCGAGTGATTATTATAATCCGTCTAATGACAGACCAGGGCATCTCACTCTGAGGGACTGCCCCGCAGTCGCCAGCAGAGCAGGCGCCGGTGCCCGGGGCTCTGGGCTGGTGCTCAGACCCGTGGCCGCGCCTGGAGAAAAGATCAGAACCCAGAACATTCATACTACATGACACTGAACATGGTGCCGTGCCGTTCAAATGTTGCCTGTGTATAGACTGAATAAAGCTGAGGCATACCATACTGAAGTGTTCTGGGCCCTGTTTCAAGGCGCTGCGCAACAGCGCGCTACGCGTGGCGGTGTATTGGGTTTTCACGGAAACACCAACAAACTCGGACGCTCGCAAGGCTGAAGCGTCGAGGCGAATTCGTCGCAAACGCCGCACCAATACTGTAGCGCAGCGCAGCGGCGTGCCAAGAAACTGGGCCCTGGTGATATGTTCAAAAGAATCTTTTGTTTCGTGGAAAGCTCAGAGAGTGCTTCAAACAGCAAACATTATCTCACGGTTTATTGACACTCCAGTAGATCATAGACCTTTAATCGTCGATACCGGTCACCAATTTGTCCCAGCCGACCTGCCCGCCCTCCCGCGGCCCGTCACCGCCGTTTGTAGAGGCAGGGCTTCAGCGTGATCTCCGGCAGCTCCTTCCGTCGCTTCCGGTCCACGTTGGCCACCTTCTTCAGGCTGAACATGTAGAAGTACTTGTGCGACAGGTCCTGACTGATAAAGTGGAAGCCATAGGCCTGCAGCGACTTCACGAAGTCGTCGACTGAGTCGAACCGGCTGGCCACCTCTGCTATCCGCAGCTGGCCGCTGGAAAAGAGTAGGACACCGTCATGATTGGCTGCCGATTGGAGACCGCCGGCACGTGATATACGTGGATTCGAAAGCCGAGGAAGAACGCCGCTAAACGCCACATGTGTGAGAGGAAGTACACCATACTCGAGGGCAGCGCTTTTCGAGGAGCACTGCGGCCCGAAGGTTTGGACTTTGAATTGTGAAAAACGATCACCCACCGCAAAACGCAAACACCGCAAAACGCGCAAAACGCACGCCCGAAACGCCAACGCAAACGTCGCAAAGAAAAACAATAAACAAACGCACGCCTGCCGCAACAAATACGTAATTGACGCTATTAAATTTGTTTGCGGTTGGCGGCCGCTTTTTCGTTTTTTTGCGGTGTTTTTTTTTTTTTGGCGGCGGGCGGGCGTTTTTTTGGCGTTTTCGGTTGGCGGTTAGCGGTTGTGTGATGCGGGCGGTTTTATTGTTTTGCGGCGTTTTTGCGTTTTTTATTTGCGGTTTGCGGCGGGCGGGCGTTTGTTTATTTTTTGCGACCTTTGCGTTGGAGTTTCGGGTGTGCGTTTTGCGCGTTTTGCGGTGTTTGCGTTTTGCGGCGGGCGGGCGTTTTTCACAATTCAAAGTCAAACCTTCGGGCCACAGCGCTCCTCGAAAAGCGCTGCCCTCGAGTAATTGACGCTACCGACAGTACTCACCCCATCTTGAGGATGCGATTCGTCTCCATGACGAAATCCACCAGGTTGGTTCCCATCAGCGCGAGACACAGCACCGCCACGTTGGCGGCACCATCCTCCAGCGGTAGGTGGGCCATGTCGCAGGCGGTCACCCGCTCATTGGTAGCCACCAGGTCATAGGAGAGCACGCGCTGCCGAACGCTGGTCGCCAGCCGGGCGTCGCCGCAGCCCAGGTCCACCACCAGGTGACTTGGCGGCCTGAGGGGGAGGGGGGGGGGGTCAGGGTCGCGGCCCCCAGTCAACGATCGCACGCGGATAGAGCCGAACATTACAGGTGGGGTTGACGAATAGCATGCAGTCTTAAAAAACGAAAACGGGATATAGCCAAATGTATGGGACCTGCGATATGCGCTACGTGATACCGAGACAGAAATGGGAATGTTCATCAGAGGGGAAATGAACACTGAACAGTGGCAAAGGGAATGACACGCACACAATTTTGCCAGACCATATTTACATCATTTAGTAGCTATCATTTACTTTCAATGCCCCTGCGGCGCCTTACATTTTGTTGACGTTCTTGATGATGAGGTCGAGCGGGTTGACGGGCCACTTGGCCACCTGGTTGCGGAAGCCCTGGTGGTAAGCGTCAAACGACTCCCGGTCGCGCGAAAACATCTTCAGCGCCTCGAACCCGGTCCTCGTGTACAGCTGCTCGTTCAGGTACCTGGTGAGGGCATCAGGTCGGGTCACAACTCACAACCACATCCCGCGTAACTATTTGCGCATTAGTGCGCCAATAGTTACGCCAAGAGAAATACAAAAAAGTTCGTTCCTCATAAAACGACCCATTTATGCTACGACTATTGACTCGCCCTATCAAGTCCTCTCCCCCAGTCCCCTTACTCTCCAAGATTGAACCCGTGGCTGACCTGAACCGGGCCGATTCCAGTTTGGCCTCCGGCGTCTCCGCGGCGGCCAGCAGTTCCTCCCTCCGCAGTTTCCGCTTCGCCAGCTTCATCTTCCGCCGTTTCTTCTTGCCGCGAGCGGCGGTCGGCGGCTCCGGGTCGCCATCTGCGTCACTGCCGTCCCCTGCGTCCTCCGGGACCGGAGGGGGCAGGAAGGCCTGCCGCTCGGCGCGCGGCTTCTTCAGCGGCGGTGGTGCCGCCGCCGGGGACGGGGACGGGGCGGAGGGGCTGCTAGGTGCCGCGGCAGACTGCGCCACTGGCCGGGCAGGCTTCAGCTGGTGGATGTGGCTCAGAATCTCATTGACACGGCCTGATGCCTCAACTGGTACAACAGATTTTACCACAGGTGCCTGGGATGATTTCTTGCTTCTCTTCTTGCCCTTCTGCTTTTTAGTTTTGAATATCTTGGGAGCATTGTGCTTAAGAGGCTTCTTAGAGGGTCCAATTTTTGATGCTTTGCCCTTTTTCACTTTCATGTTGTAGCCCTTGCTTGGTTTTCACCTGAAAGATGTTTTGTAAATATCAAGATACACAAATGACAGGTCATTGTCATGGAGTGAAGAACTCCACGCCACTGCTTACATTTTGAACACAGAAACACGAGTTAATAAATAAATAAATGTTAATTATATAATATTTCAAATTCAATGTTAAGTGATGAAAAACAAAACTAAAAGACATGAAGTAGGTACCTAGTTACTTGTCCAACAATATGGCTGGCGATAATAGGGTGATAAAATAATTCAGCATCAGTCATCAATCATGCCATACCAATACTGATATGGTAGGAAATTGAAATGGCCCAACCCAATGCAAGGAACACTGAAGTTGACCAAACACTGACATGGGATGGGGAGTCAATTCAGAATCTGAATCAGCCTGAGCCTCACCTTTGAGTCTGAATTAACCTTTTCAGAAAAAAAAAAACTCATAACATGTAATGATTGTGATTGATATCAATGCGTGAAGGACCCTGCAGCTCTGTTCTTGAATTGTTAAAGCAAACTCAAAGATGCCCTTGCCCTATGAATCAAAATGTATTTTTACAGGAACGCGACCACGTGCCATGAATTACTTTCAATATCAATATCAATAAAACAAATAGATCACTGCTTTTTTTAGTGGCCCTATATGGTGCAGGTGCACCACTTTCGAAACATCTGCGCCATTTCTGCATTCAATATTGATTAATGTTTATAAGATCTGTGCCAGCCATGAATAGGCCTTAATTGACCAATCAGAGATGATATACTAGTTCAACTGTAAATTTGATTTGTGGGTAGTCTCACTTTCTGTTTGCGCTCGCACTTTGTCTTTTTATGAACAAGATTTACAGAAGCATTTTGACTATTGTGATAAGTGGGCTCTGGTATTAACTGGATTTTTTGCCAGCTGGCGCCGTATGGTGGCGCTAGCAGAGCTTCTTACATATCAATGCTAGATATAAAAGAATAAATATTTACCAATCAATTTTTCATTTAAAGCCATTTGAAATATTTATGTCCATCCTACTACCGCGCTTATATCTAAAATTAAATACCTTTCGTGCGTCGCCAGCTGGCCAGCCAGCTGACGCAATCCAGTTTTTACCAAAGCCCTGATAAGGGCTCTGGTATTAACTGGATTTTTTGCCAGCTGGCGCCGTATGGTGGCGCTAGCAGAGCTTCTTACATATCAATGCTAGATATAAAAGAATAAATATTTACCAATCAATTTTTCATTTAAAGCCATTTGAAATATTTATGTCCATCCTACTACCGCGCTTATATCTAAAATTAAATACCTTTCGTGCGTCGCCAGCTGGCCAGCCAGCTGACGCAATCCAGTTTTTACCAAAGCCCTGATAAGTGGGCGTAGTCAGGCCCATGTCGTCCCCTATCTCTCTGCGTGTCCACTAACACGAATGACGTCACGCATGTGGGCGGAGCTATGGGCGGAGCCTAACGCACGCGGCAGTCCAAGCCGCCATATTTGAATTTATATTTTAATAGAATCTTGCCGATATTTTGGGTGAAGTCAATTTATATGGATAGCTTGGTGACAGTTTAGCTATACGAATAATAATTTATTATGGATGTGCGTATATTCAGCTTGGAATTGCAATTAAAGTTCCGCACCGCATAGATTCGAACCCGGGACCTTTGGAATACTGCGCGGGCACGCTAACCACTACACTACCGCGACCGCGCGACGGCCGGCGGCAGGGAGGCTGCGGAGACATGGGGGGACATTTTACGCTTTTGTGAAAAAAGCAAAAGATTTAGCGAAAAACACGTAATAGATAACTTGCAGAAAATTGTCTGCTCTTTCAGATAAGATACTTAGGTTTGATATATCTTGTACAGACTTCATTCTACAGTGCTTCGAAAATCGCTCATTTACATGGGGATTGAACGGGGCTTCGAGACTTGACTCCAAATGACGTCACGAGCTGACGTCACGAAAAGGTAGAATCGCCGGACGACCCTACCTGGTATATAGGGCCTTGGGCGTAGTTTCAGTTTGGGACGGAAAGGCAGAGAATATTCGAAATTGGGGTACCCACTCGACATATTTTGTATGTAAATTAAATACGCGCTTCCTGCGACCATCTATTATCAATCCACCACCTGTCTGTTCTCTGAGGGTAAGTACAAGTAGGTTTCCTATGTCGATGTCTGTCTTGTGTCAGTGTTTTTTTTTTCATTTTTGTGCTGTTTGTCAAAATGCTTATAGTAGTTCGGAAGGTTCATGGTAGCTCTCATTGGAGCTTGCTGCATTGTAGTTACTTTTATAAATACTGAACTCATTTTTATCAGG